TGTTCTTCTTTCTCAAGATTGCTTTGGCTATTCGAGGTCTTTTGTGGTTCCCTATAAATTTTAGGATTGTTTTTTCTATTTCTGTGAAAAATGCTATTTGAATTTTGATAAGGGTTGCCTTGAATCTGTAGATGCTTTGGGTAGTATGGACATTTTAAACATATTAATTCTTCCAGTCCATGAGCATGGGGAATATCTTTCCATTTATTTTTGTCATCTTCAGTTTGTTTCATCAATGTCTTATAGTTTTCAGTGTACAGATCCTTCACCTCAGTTAAATTTATTCCTAGGTATTTTATTCTTTTTGATGCTGTTGTAAATAGGATTGTTTTCTTAATTTCTCTTTCTGATAATTCATTGTTAGTATATAGAAACACAACGGATTTTTGTCTGTTGATTTTGTATCCTGCAACTTTACTGAATTTGTTTATTAGTTCTCACAGTTTTTTGGTGGAATCTTTAGGGTTTTCTCTATATAATATCATGTCGTTACTGAATTTGTTTATTAGTTCTCACAGTTTTTTGGTGGAATCTTTAGGGTTTTCTCTATATAATATGTTGTCTGCAGATAGACACAATTAAAATTATTTAAAAATTTTTTGATTAAATATGTTTAAGTATATTCAGATGTATAAACTGACAGACACCTGTACCATTATCCATTTTAAGCAACATTTTTATTAATTTCATTTTTATGAAATTATCCATTTTAAGCAACATTTTTATTAATTTCATTTTTATGAATTCCCTTACTGATAAGGGAATTGATAAAATTTTATAAATACTGAATATATATTAATATGAATTAATAAATTTTGTTAATTCCCTTACTTAATAAATATAATAAATTAGTACCTGCTATTGCCAGGCACCTTTCTGAGTTCTAGAGAAAAGAAGGACACACCTGCTGACAAGGAGCTTTTCTTCTAGTGGGAGAGACTAAACAGTAGACAAATACGTAATGTGAGGTCATGATACGTACTATATAGAAAGATAAAGTAAGATAAAGGGATCAATGGTTCTTATAAGGTGTGATAGTTATGGAAGGACTCTTGGAAGAGGTGACACATGTGAGTGAACTGAGAGAGTGAGCCATGCAAAATCAGGGGTTGGAGCTTCCTGGCAGTCAGCAGCAACTGACAGGTCCCAGAGTAGGGCTGAGCTTAGGGATCAAGAAGCAACTAATTATAATGAATTAAGTTATTAGAGATATACCTAAAGCAGCAGTTGTCAAGGTTTTTTGTCTTAGCACCCCTTTATGTTCTTAAAAGATATTAAGAACCGAAAGAGCTTTTGTTATATGGGTCATATGTCTTGTTACCTTCTATTTCTGGAAATTAAAACAATACTTTTAGGGGGCTGGCCCGGTGGCGCAGTGGTTAAGTCCGTGTTCCACTTCGGCGGCCCGGGGTTTGCAGGTTTGGATCCCAGCACGCATTGACGCAGTGCTTGTGAAGCCATGCTGTGGCGGCATCCCATATAAAGTAGAGGAAGTTGGGCATGGATGTTAGCCCAGGGCCAATCTTCCTCAGCAAAAAGAGGAGGATTGGCATCGGATGTTAGCTCAGGGCTAATCTTCCTCACCAAAAGAAAAAAAAAACATTTATTAGTTCTTTAAAAAATAACAGTAAACCCGTTACATGTTAGCATAACATTTTTATGGAAAATAACTGTATGTTTTAAAGAAAAATTAGTGAGCAAAGTGGCATGGTTTTACATTTTTGCAAATCTCTTTCATGTCTGTCTTAATAGACAACAGCTGGATTACTTTAACCTGCTTCTGCTTTCAGTCTGTTGTAATATTACATGCCACATAGCCTCTGGAAATGCCCACTGTACACTTGTGAGAGAATGAGTGCAAAAGGCAAATAACATCTTAATATTATTATGAAAATAGTTTTGGCCTTGTGTTCTTCCCTGAAAGCATCTCAAGAACACCCTCCCACCACCACCAGGAGAATTTAGGCCACATTTTAAGAACTACTGACTGCAATTTCACATCCTCCTCCCCCGCCCATCCTTTCTCTTAATATCGTCCTAGAGGTGACCACTACATTGTAGTTTATGTATATCACTCTTACGAATGCTTGTATACTTTACCCAAATATGTGTGTCTATAAACAATCCATCAGTTTATGTTTTTAAACTTCACATAAATATTGTCACACAGTATACATCCTTTTGCAACGTTTTCATTCAACCGTTAGGATTTTGAAATTGACCAAGTTGATCCATGCAAACTTATTTTATTCATTAAAATCCACCCTTTGAATACACTGTAGTTTATTTTGCCATTTTTCTACAATTGGACATTTAAATTGTTTCTAATTTATTGCTGTTCAAATCAGTTCTGTAGTGAACATCTTTGAATTATGTCTCCTTGTGCACATAGGCTATGTACTTAGGAATAGAATTCATTGCTGATCATAGGGCATGTGCTCTTCAACTTTAATAGTTTTGCCAAATTGCTTTCCAAAATTTGAACCAATTTGTATGCCAGCTAACAGTGTATAAGGATTCCACTTTATCCATAGTCTAGGCTTTGGCATTATCAGACTTTTTAATTTTTGACAGTCTGGTGTATGTGAAATAGTGTCTACATCCTCTTAATTTACATTTTGCCTTTTCTATTTAACAGTCTTCCTTTAACACTTAGATTACACATTGTCACTCTTATTATTATCCATTTAGATTTAACAGCAGTGGATCCTCATTATTTGTGGATTCTGTATTTGCAAATTTGCCTACTCGCTAAAATATACTTGTAACCCTAAATCACTTGCTCCTCTCTTGCCGTCTTCATGGACATGTGCAAAGCCTCAAAAAATGTGAGTTGCCCAACACTGAGATCAAACAAGGCAACTCTCTGCCTTCTTGTTTTTCAGTCCTGTACACTAAACAACTCTTTCTAGATGCCACGTTTTTGTGGTTTTTGTTGGTGATTTTGTTTAAAATGGCCTCTGCGTGTAGTGATGCAGTGTCTAGTGTTAGCATAAGAAGTGTTCCCTAGCACAGAAAGAGTATGTGTGTTAGGTAAGCTTTGCTTGGGCATGAGTTGAATGCTAATGAATCAACAGTATACATTATATATGGTGTCTGTAAACAGAAATACCCATAAAATGAGGTTATGTATTGATCAGTTGATGAAAATGGTGTGACCAGAGGCTGGCAGGAACCTAACCCTGTATTTTACCTCAGCAGCAGTTTCAGTGTTCTCTCTTCAGTGTCCATGGCAACTTTATGGAAGAGAACTATCACGAATACTGAGAATTGACTGTGTGTATAGCAAAGTTCATTGCATGGTAACCTGTAGATACTATTCCACTGTTTTTAAAGTTCCAGTGTTAACAGATAAGAAATCTGATGCTGATCTGATTCTTTTTTTTTCCTTTGTAAGTGATTTGACACTTTCTCCTGAAGGATTGTAGAGTTTCTCTTTATTTTAGGAATTTGAGAGTTTTACCAGAATGTTCATGTGTCATTTTCACCTAGTCCTATGTGGAACTTGGTCATTACAGCCTGAAGTCTTCCAATCAGATCATTTTCCCTATATTATTATTTTTAATTAATTTCCTCACTTTCATCTTTTTTTTTTTTTTTTTGAGCTCCTCACATGCTATGTTTTCTTGCTCTCTTCTCCATATTCCTCATGGCATTTATCTTTTTTTTTTTTGTGAGATCAGCCCTGTGCTAACATCTGCCAATCCTCCTCTTTTTTTTTTTTTTGCTGAGGAAGACTGGCCCTGAGCTAACATCCGTGCCCATCTTCCTCCACTTTATATGGGACGCCGCCACAGCATGGCTTGCCAAGCAGCGCATCGGTGCGTGCCCAGGATCCGAACGGGCGAACCCTGGGCTGCCGCAGCGGAGTGCGTGTACTTAACCGCTTCCGCCACTGGGCCGGCACCGGCATTTATCTTTTTGTTATTTTTGCTGTGTTGTAAGAAAGTTCTTCCTGTTGATCTTCAAGGCTGCTAGTGAGCATTTTTCATCTACTGAATTTTTAAACTTGAAGTTGTAATTTTCAGATCCAGAAAGTCTTTTGTTTTTTTTAGTGCTTTATTTTAGTCACCTCAAGTAATTTTCTCACTTTGGAGTTAAAGTTGTAATGAACCTTCCAGCACTTCTTTTTCACCACCATTTGTTCTAGGTGTTCTGCATTTTTTTTCCTCCTGGCTGCTGCGTGCACTGTCATTTTCTGTTGCATGATCATGGCTCTGTTTATCTTTGAGGCTCTGGTCATATTGCTCAGTTATGGCAAACACTTAGGAGTAGCAAGATGTCAGCTCCTATCAGTGCACCAGGAGGAAGTCTTGGCTTCTTCCCATCTCCTTAGGTGCAAAGGCTACTGTCCTCCTACCTCAAGGATAGGGGGAAAAAAAAATCTTCCCGTCTATTCAGCCCTTGCATTTCCTCCAGGGACAAGTAGGTAGCAGATCCTCCCAGATTGCTTAGGAAGGCTTTACTCAAGATGTAATGCTATTAACTGAGATAAGGAACACCACAGGGAAACCAGTTTGTGAGGATAGAAAATGAGGTGCCAGAGGGATGTATCGGTGATGATTTTGGCCAGTGGTTGGGAAGGTAGATACATCTTGAAAAAATTGGGATTCTCTATAGCATTATCTCTGTAATTACTATTATGAGCACAGTCCATGAGGGTATCAGTTATAGGAAAATAAATGACATTGGAGTAAGGTAAGGAAAAAGTGCAACTTTGGAATTTTCCTTCTTGTTAATTTGATCTTAATGGGTCCAACTCTGATGGGCCACATAGAGAACTAAAGGAATTGGAAATATTGCACATTTATTGTGTGAAAACATAGTAATAGTGAAATATTTCTTAATCTAATGCTAGCAGTCTTCAACTTAGTAATGTATTTGGTTCCATTTTCTCTTTTTTTCCACCTTCCCTGTGTGTTGGTAGCACCTACAGTAATCACTGCTTCTTTTTCTAGGCCAAATAGTTTGATTTTAATAACGTGAATATTTTCTTACAGATGCTGCCTGTATAATAATCACCAGGCTAAGGACTGTATTGACTCCTTTGTTACTCACTGTGTTCGGGTAAGGACTACAGTTTGGATCATTGCGATGGATACTTTAAAAATTGCAGGGTGTAATTCCTTCAGTAGCATTTATTTCTGCTATTTTTTCATCTAACATATCTTAGACTCAAGTGGAGAGCTTCATAACCTATAGTCTCCTGGCAGGTTGTTAGACACTGAGGCACCTTTTGATGCCCTCTTACTCTAGCCTTCAGGGACCACATAAACAGGATAAGTTATGAGCCCCATCTGGGAAAACAGCAGCTGTCACGTGTTTTGTAAATGGACACGAAAACTTGACCTATTTTTGACCTTATAAACAAAGAATGCATGTAACAGCTCCAGGGAATAACTTTGTACTACCTTAATGAACAGGATTGTAGTAAAATTAAAATTATTGATTTAGATGAGATCACAAACTTTTTTCAAAACACAAGTATTTTTATCACTAGCATTTTATCATTACCGGGCAGGTCACTTTACTTTTCTGTAATCTTCCCAATCTTTAAAAAGTGAAATGTTAATACCACCCTTATACCTCTTACAGGCTAGTTATTCATCAAATGAGATAATATCTGTCAAAGTATAGAAATGTAAAACAGTATTATCCCTAAAGAATCTTAAAATTCATACTTCTTAAATCACACCATCCTACCATTCATGTCTATTGTCTGATTAGTGAAATGTTATCATATTTTCTATGAGAATACTGTATAAATAGAGTAGGAATAGAAGAACCTCAGTCAGCGTTTATAGGTATTAGCCATTACTCAAGCCTTATAATTATTAGGCATTCTGGTATGTTTAAAGCAGAACAGAAATGTCAGCCATAAACATTGGCTTTTGGCTTGAAATAAGCAGAAAAGAAACTGCCCTTTTGAAATTGTGGGAAGATATCTAAAGATTGAAGGATGATGTTTTTGCCATATGGAAACCAGTTTCATAATCAGCCACTTTCCTCTAGCTATTGATAAATTCTAGTGTTGAGTTTCTTGAAAAGAAATACCTATGTAAAAGAGTATATGTAGACATGATTCTTATATACACAGCAGTTTTTTTTCCCCTTAAACCAGATTTTGAAAACTTGGAATGTTAATTTTCTTTAGTATCAGGATATTTCATGTTGACGGTTGACAAATTGTATGTGTATTGCAGCCATTCTGTAGTCTTATTCAGATCCATGGACATAACAGGGCTCGACAGAGAGACAAGCTTGGTCATATTCTTGAAGAATTTGCTACCTTGCAAGATGAGGTAAGAGCCAACAAGTTGCCCTCCCTTATAAAATTAAGCAATTCGTGTAACTTGACCAGATTTGTAAAACCAGTTCTTTGGAACCGTATTTTGACTATTTCATTTTTCAGTGTGGTGAATTGCCTTTTCACTTAAAATGTAACAATTACATATACCAAAGAAAGGGTTTATAAAAAGAAACAGAGCAATAATCCAACCTGAGGAATATCTTAAATTATTTCTTTGATAACCAGGATAAATTATAAAATATATGTAGAACCATAGTTTTATAGCAGGTTCACATTATAATAAAAATATAGTAATCTTAAAGTAATTTGTGAGCAGCAGCAGTATTGATAATATAACTAAAGACCTGAAGTCGATTATTTGTATTTTCAGCCTACAAAATGGATGTCTTTTTAGATTAGGGAGTGTTCAGGTAAATGTTATCCATTGTGAAATGAGAAGTTTGAATGTAAACCTAACCAAAAATGCGTGTAAAAGTATGAATTCTGTAGGTGATGAGATTTATATTTTCTGCTTTTATGCTGTTTTTAGCTGTTTACTTTTTTATAATTCTCATTACCTTATAAAGAAAGTTAATGTTATGACATTTTATTGTGATAGGCAGAGAAGGTTGATGCAGCTCTTCACACTATGCTGTTGAAACAGGAACCCCAAAGGCAACATTTGGCCTGTTTAGGTACCTGGGTCCTTTACCATAACCTTCGCATTATGATACAGTATCTTCTAAGTGGCTTTGAATTGGAACTCTACAGCATGCACGAGTACTATTACATATATTGGTAAGAGAACAATTTGAGTGAAAATTGGTGGCGGGTGGGGTAGATAGGATCTGAGAGAGCATCTGTAGAGTATGATTTCAGGGTACTTTTTCGTTTAGTGTATTTTAACTTTAGTTGTGGGACAATTGAAAAATATCTATTGAAAATTAGAGTGAGATCATCTTGAACATCTTTAAGTGACATGACACTGTACAAATATATTTTTTCCAGCCATTTGAATATTTGTTTAAAAATTACCAATAAAAGTGGCTCCAAAGTAAATGGATTACTTGAAGAGCTTTTATCTGTTTCTAGGGAGAAAAATTAACACACATTTTGCCCTGAATTCTGTGACACTAGGCACTAGCTGTGGAATGTACTTAACTGAATTAAGGTTCAAAATTTGAACCAGATCTTTCTTCTGAGAAGAAATCATGGCTAAGATTATCATTGGGAGCTTATCTGTTGTAAACTATCGCCCTGAGGATTTGTCTCAGGAGTTTTGAAGGAGTTGATAAGAGATGATCCTTAGCAGAGTACTTCTTCACTTTCACTTGGAGATGAGATAAACCTAGTTAAGGGGATGCTTGAGAATATTTTAGGCATGGAAAAGCTGTCACAGATAGAAAATAAACTAAGAAAATTAGAGCTAATGAATTCAGTTATCTTGAATCTTTTTCTTAGTCTGGCAAAGCATGGTGGTATATAAGTAGTAATGACCATTATTGCCCATCACAAACAACTAAGTTTTGTATATTATATTAGATCTTAATATATTTCATTTTTTTAACTCATATTTAAATAATTGAACTTAGTAATTAAGATAGTGTATATTCCCTAGAGTCACTGCTATGAAGGAAGGAAAGTAATTCTCTTCCACGCTGTTGACATGGTTTTGTTATCATGGCTGCACTTAACAGATAACTCTTGGCTATGAAAATTGTATTTGAGCATCAACTATAATAATATGAGAATAATATTATTTGATATATTCTCCAACATTTATATAGATAACAAATCACTCTTAGCAACGGTGTTGTTATAGCTACTTGGGATACATTTTATTATTATATTATGTTATTATCATAACAGACATTCCTACTCAAACCAGGCATTTTATAGGGGAACATGCTCAAGTTCTTTCTTTTGTGGTGTGAGGCCGCTAATTGGAAGCTTTTGTGCTCTTGATTTCTCAAAATACAATTTTTATATGCTTTTTGGCGCAAAGAATTGGCAAATAATGATATTCAGGTAAATGATCCATTAGAAATTTAGAAATTAGAATTAGAAAAGACTGCTGCATACCTGAGCAGAGTAATTTCTTTTCTTGTTAATGAAAGAGATTTTAGTTCCATTTATAAGTACCCTAGTGATCTACTTTCATGCTAGTTTTAACTGCTTTTTAGTTTCAAAATTACTGATTGGGCTCCTACATTTTCACAAGATAATTGTTGTTGTTCATGAATATGATCCCTAAAGCATGTGGACCCTTTTAAAATCAACAGTAGAGAACAATGATTCTTAAACTTTAGCATACATCATAATCACTTGGAAAGCGTATTAATATACAACTTGCTAGGCTCTGTCCCTCGAATTCCTGGTTTAGTAGCTCTAGGGGAGGACCTAGTCGTTTGCATTTCTAACTCAGTTCCCTGGTGATACTGTTGCTGGTCCAGGGATCACAATTGAGAACCACTTGTATAGAATATCAGCACTCTTAACTTTCCTTAGGTATAATTGTGTTTTGATTTTGATAAAGCACTTAAAAGCTCATTGAGATATCTGATATTTGAGAGGAAAGACCTGAGTCCTGCCAGCTATCCCCTTTACTTATCTGTCCTTGGGTTAGATAGTCAAAAGGAAGAAGGAAGCATTAGTTCCCTATAGAAATCCTCTCATTGAGTTTGGATTACAGACCCTCAGATTTTGTAGTGTGATAGGGAAAAGAAATTCATTTGTATTCCATAAAAGGATACTATAATAAATATTTTTCTTAAATTCATTGTCGGGAATTATTTTCTCTTTATAGGAAATTATATGCTTTTTTAAATCAAATAAAAATATATTTCCCAGTTTGCCTTTGCTGCCAGGAAGCATAGTGCTCAGTTTAGCTTTAAAATATAGTACCTAAGTCATTCCAGGTGTATCTTTTCATTAGTTTTTGTTTTGTTTTGCTGTAAAATGTTCTTCTTTTTATGTGTTTTAATGTTGTAACCTGCCTTACAACTTTTTGGAAAATTTTGGAAATAGGCATTATACACTCAAACTTGATCACAATAAAATTTCTTATAAATCTTTGATTTTCACCTATTGTACTAGTGGTCCTTAATTTTATTTATTATGGATTATATCATAAAGTATATATATTCATATCCTAGATTTGAACTGCTTTTCTTAGGAGAATGTAGTGTTGTTTAGTTTAAAATTCTGAAAAATTAGTATCCAGTGGAATAATCTGTTTCACATTTCATTTATTGAATAAACACAAGTATTTACAAGCCTGCATGTTGTTAATTTTTTAGAATCATTTTGTATAATGCATATATTTTAAAAATTTTTTCTGTATGTATTTACTTTCTTTTGCCATTAATAGGAAAATAAAATATTTACTTAAGAGGTTTTAGGTGAAGTGTGTCCTGATATAGTAAAAACAATTTAAGGGGCATTCATTTGATTTACACATATATATATATATAAAAATATAATTATCAAGAAATCTTTTGAAAAGTTGTAAAATGCGTATCAGTATAGGAAATAAAAAATTTTCAATATTGTATGGCAACAAGAAATGGAAAGTTAATCATTTGTAATGCTCATTTCTTGTAAGATCTACTCTATTAACTATCTAATTAGATAATCTTATTTTAAAAAATAAAATTCTAAAACATTATAAAAAATATGTCTTTATTAGTACCAATACATGTGTTGATCAGGCCATCTCATTTAGACATCTACCATTAACCAGCATTTTGTTTCCTTTAAGGTATCTCTCTGAATTCCTTTATGCATGGTTGATGTCGACATTAAGTCGTGCCGATGGCTCTCAAATGGCGGAGGAAAGGATAATGGAAGAACAGCAGAAAGGCCGTAGCAGTAAAAAAACAAAGAAAAAGAAGAAAGGTGTTGTGGATTATTTTTAAACTTAAGCAATAAATAACACTGTAGTGCACCTTAATTTCTACAAATAAGTAGATGGAGAGCTACCTGTGCATTGTAATGGATGAATTAGTCATATTTTAATTATCCCCCATCTTCTCTTTAGAAAGTATAAGGTAGAAACTGAATCTCAATATTAGTGATATGAGCCTTTTTGGTTCCTTTTCTTGCTTTTCTTTTTTTCTTCTTTGCTATTCCATGTGTCGGAGGACCTTAGGACAAGAAGTAGCTACATGGAGCAAGATAGGTTAAGGAACAAGACAGCAGGAGACCTTTGATGATCTTTTGACTGAAGGCTGACAGCTCAGGAGGGAAGTAGATCTGGAGTTGTGCTTATAGTCTGCACAGAAGGATGCTCACAGAGCACCTTGGCACACCACCCAAGGACCATGAGGAGAAAGAAATGTTTCCAAGGGACTGCCCTATTAATCCCTTATGGAAAAGTACAGATATGCTATTGTTATAAAATATTACTTTGTATTTCCGTAGGATCTCAAAAGTTTGGGTGGGTCATTAGATGACTGTTTGGGTTTCCTATATAAGAAGTTGTCGCTGTATGGCGAATTCAGAAGTTAAAATACTTAATACTAAAATTTTATGGTATTAGCTATTTTGGAAAATAATTATTGTTTATCTTTTCATTTATATTTTATTATTTGTAGATTTTGGCCTTAAAATTTAGCCTGTAGGAACAAACTATTTGAAATTTTAATTTAGTAAACAAGGTGAAAGACTCTTTTAAATTGGATTTTCTCCTGCAATAATTCAAGAGGAGGGGAAAAGAGTATGAGTGATTTTCTTCCTAATTACAGTTCGTCCATTGAGCCGAGAGATCACAATGAGCCAGGCATATCAGAACATGTGTGCTGGAATGTTTAAAGTAAGTTGTTGAAAATGAAGTTCTATTTTTTAGCTGCATTACCATTATATATATATTTTTTTTTTTTTTTTTAATTTTATTTATTTATTTATTTTTTCCCCCAAAGCCCCAGTAGATAGCTGTACGTCATAGTTGCACATCCTTCTAGTTGCTGTATGTGGGACACGGCCTCAGCATGGCCAGAGAAGCAGTGTGTCGGTGCGCGCCCGAGATCCGAACCCGGGCTGCCAGCAGCGGAGCATGCGCACTTAACTGCTAAGCCACGGGGCCGGCCCATATAGTACTAACTCTTAAGTTGTACATGGCAATTCAAGAAATGACTTTAGGTAGCCTACATTAAAATACATAAAACAGAACATGGACTTCTGTTTGAAAAACAGTACCTATACTTTTCTTATAAAAATTATATGCTACTTGTTTCTTCAAAAGCTTTTACTTGAAGGTTTCAAGGCTATTGTAAAAGCATGAGGCATGGAAGAATAATGTGCATGTAGTATAATTTCCCTGGGAAATTAAATTTAAATTCACCAAATTACCATAGTAATATGGTAAACACTAGAACTTGAAATTTTTTTGTATAAATGATGGCATATAACATAAAAATGGATACTAAAGCCAGTTTTCCTATTTCTAATTTCTGAGCTTTGTATTAGCTATGTGTAGATAGCTAATTGCTTTCTATTCTATATTAATGAGGATGTTCACTTTTTCATATTGACATATCTTTTTTCTCATTCTCTTTTTCCTGTAGACCATGGTAGCATTTGACATGGATGGCAAAGTACGAAAACCCAAGTTTGAGCTTGATAGTGAACAAGTTCGATATGAGCACAGATTTGCTCCATTCAACAGTGTAATGACACCACCGCCAGTGCACTATCTACAGTTCAAGGTGAACCTGCTCTTGAAAGTCATTGTAAAATAGTTAGTCTTAGACCTTCTGAGAGATGTGCTGTTTGCACCTAGCCATTTTGTTAAAATAGACAGTCAAATCAAACTCACTGGACCAGAGGGACAAGGTGATAAAATGGCAATTTTAAATAATGTGAAAATTATTTGGTTTTTTTGGGATGCATTCATCACATTATCAGTTATTTAAGTATCAGAATAATATGAGGTAGCATATGAAGGTTGAGAATTGAATATTACATAGGAAAAAATAGGGACATAATGCTGATTGTTTGCTTCAGTGTCTATATGTGGATGGATAGTCAGTGTAGAATTCTTTAATTAAAAAGGTAGAGTTTTGGGCCGGCTCCGTGGCTTAGCGGTTAAGTGCGCGCGCTCTGATGCTGGCGGCCCGGGTTCGGATCCCGGGGGTGCCCCGAGGCACCGCTTCTCCGTCCAACGTGAGGCCGAGTCCCACGTACAGCAACCAGAAGGATGTGAACCTATGACATGCAACTATCTACTGGGGCTTTGGGGGGAAAAAAACTGAATGAATAAATAAAAAATCTTAAAAAAAAAAAAAAAAGGTAGAGTTTTTTCATGTTAAACATGTTTTGAATAATAGTATTTCCGAACCCTTTTTAGGAAATGTCTGACCTCAATAAATACAGCCCTCCTCCTCAGTCTCCTGAACTGTATGTGGCAGCTAGTAAGCACTTTCAGCAGGCAAAAATGATACTGGAAAATATCCCAAACCCAGACCATGAGGTAAGACCGCAGTCACAGTATTTCTAGAGGAAAAACTTGGCAGGAAGTACATATCTTACTATTGGATAATAGTTTCATTATAAAAATGAACTAAAATGAAATGAAAATAATATTAATAAATGCAGCCTGTCATGTTTCTGCCAAAGATTTCAAATGGCTTTGTTAACTTAACTTTGTCAGACTTAAAATTATTTGATGAAAGAGGTGACATAAATACTTCCTTTGTGTAAATTCGGAAATCAATGCAAAGAGGAATTAAGACTTAGAACCATAAAGTGAGTAGGAAGAACAGAAATAAGATCTAGTTTGGGCCACAGTTTGGAAATGTTAACATTTAAATTTTTTTATTTTAACCTATAGTTTACTAGATTAAAATATAATTATATAAATCTTAAATCTGAAAAAAAGACTGGTCAGTTACTGCAGGAAGTAAAAACCACCTTATTCCACTTAAGACTATTGTCTTTTGAAGACTTTATTTTGAGATATCATTCTGCATAGCTTAGAACTTGCAAAATATTGTTTCAGGCTTTTGTTATTTTCATAATTTGCTATATACCTAATTATATTGAAATGCATTTATTTTGTAAATGAGAGTTACCTGTAACAGACCTTTTTGGGGAGTATCTCTTGGTACAACCTCCATGGAAGAGTAGTTGAGCAAAATTTGTCAAAAATCACAAATGCTTAGGCCCAGCAACTCTGCCTCTTAGGATTTATCTTACATGTGCACATGTGGAAGTGAGGAAAGTGATGAATATACAAGAGTATTCATTGCAGCAGGATTTCTAATAGCAAAAAATGAAGAAACTTTAGTATCCATCAACAGGGGACTGTTGAATTACGATACTACATACAATGGAATACTATCAAGCCTTAAAAAGGACAAGGAAGTTCTTTATGTACTGTAATGGAATGTTCTTCAAGATATAAGAGGTTTAAAAAGCTAGATAAACGGTGTGTATAGTCTGCTGCCATTTCAATCAAAGGAGGTGAGTATTAAAACGTCTCTGGAAAGATATATAAGAATTAACAACAGTGTTTGCTTCTTGGGAGGGGAGCTGAGTGCCTTGGGGAACAGGAATAGGAGATAGACTATCTTTTTACCATTATAATCATGTAACAAATGAAAATAAAAGAACACAAGTGTAAAAATTAGAGGAAGATATCTGTAATAAATGGCATATTTCTTTTAGTGGACTTCATTCATTTATTCAACAAATATTTGTTGAGTGCCTACTATGCCCCCAGCACTGTGGTAGGTTCTAGCAGTGGGGAAAAAAAATCCGGGCCCTCCTGGGGGCGGGGGAGGGTGATGTATTGCAGACAGTAAGTAAGTAAATAAATAATACGGTAGTAGAGGATCATAAGTACTATGAAGAAAAATCAAGCTAGGAATGGGGATAGCAAATGCTACAGGAGGTAGACAGGTGGAAGCGATTAGGCATTTTTAAATAAAGTGGGCTTTGAGCAAATCCTGGAAGAGAGTGAAGAAGTGGGGGCTGGCCCGGTGGCGCAAGCAGTTAAGTGCGCACATTCCGCTGCGGTGGCCTGGGGTTCGCCAGTTGGTATCCTGGGCGCGCACCGACGCACTGCTTGTCAAGCCATGCTGTGGTGGCGTCCCATATAAAGTGGAGGAAGGTGGGCATGGATGTTAGCCCAGGGCCAGTCTTCCTCAGCAAAAAGAGGAGGATTGGCGGATGTTAGCTCAGGGCCGATCGTCCTCACAAAAAAAAAAAAAAGTGAAGAAGCAAGTCATGTGGCCATCCCAGGATGGAGAAAGATCCACATGTGTGAAGGCGCCAAGGCAGGGGTGTGTGTGGAGTATTTGAAGAACAGCCAAGGACTGACTGGTGGGCTGGCATGGTGTGAACAAGAGGGTGAGCATCTTGGAGGGTTTTGAGTAGAGGAATGACCAGATCTCATTTAGGTTCTACAGGATCTTTCTGGCCACTGTTCTGTTTTCATACTGTGCTGGGGCCAAGGGTGGAAGCCGGGGGCCAGTTAGTAGCCGTAGCAGTAACCAGGTGAGAGATGGAGGCGAGCAGAAGTGCTTGCACTCTCCATGTGTTTTAAGGTCAAGCCAACAGGATTGATTGATGGATTGGATGTGGGGTGAGAGAAAAGAGGAGTCAAGGATGACTTCTGGGTTTTTGGCCTGAGCACCTGAATGGATTGAGTCATGTGGGGAACACTGCAGGTGGGGAGGTCAAGAGCTCAGTTTTGGACGTGCCTATTGGATGCCAAAATAGAGCTGTCATCTAAGCAGGTGGATGGGTGATCTGGAGCTGAGGAGGAGCAGGTCGTGAACTTGGACGTGCGTTTCTAGAGAGAGGTCAGTAAGAAGGCAATGCGAACTTGCAGGTTGCCCATTACTCCTTCTTAAAAGAAATGCAGTATTCCATTCCATTGTTCTTCATGTGTTCAAGTGAAGCCTTTTAGACAAGTGGTAGTCAGAGATAACAACACACGTTTAAAGGACACTTACTACCTGCCTTACTACCTACCTCCAAGTTAACAAGGATTAACTTGTTTAATCCTCACAACAAATCTTTGTGGGATAGGTAAACTTATTATCCCCATTTTTACAGATGAAGAAACCGAGGAACAGAGAGGTTAGAGAACTTCCAGAAGTTTCACACTAGTGAGTGGCAAAGCTGGAACTTGAGAACAGACAGCCTAACTCCAGAGTCCATGCCCCGAACTCGCTACTGTGCTGCTTTTACAGGCCTCTGCAGCCTCGTGCTCCTTTGTCTTCATGAAGGCACGACACGTTAGCCCTTCAGGTTTTCAGAGTTGGCTGAAGTAGAGTTCTGTTACTAAAAGAAGTAGGATGTTTGTTCACGTTTTTATTTTTAAATCGCCTTTATTTAATAAAATGTCAACACTTATGCAAAGTTCTTATTAGTATCTATAATATAGAGACGTTTTGACTGAATTTTATGTTTTAATAGCTTAATGTTGCTCTCATTGTTTAGGTCAATAGAATTTTAAAGGTTGCCAAACCCAACTTTGTGGTTATGAAGTTATTGGCAGGAGGACACAAAAAGGAATCTAAGGTAAGTATATTGTGGGGAAAATAAATGGTCTTAAATTGTTATAAAACTTCTTATTTTCCCCAATAAAATACATAAATATTATTACAAAAGAAGTTAAAACATTCATAAAAATCATCCTAAAAGAGGTTCTGTTGCAGAAAATGAATTAACTAGAGCTTGCCATTTTCCCTTGAAACTTACAGATTTTGTTGACTTAAAATTTCTAAAGTCTACCCTTCCATTCTCCTCCCTCCCCCTGTGTAAATTATTGAATAACTTCGGGTAAAAAAGAAAATGTGTACAAATTTATGGGAGAGGTATTTAAAAAGGCATCTGCCTTTAGAAAAGTGAATGCTTCAATGACTAAAGACTTTTTTTTAATGGTTCAGGAGATGGAAGATTCTGTAAGCTCCCTTGGTAATGTTGGTATATCATCAGTGCTATATCAACATTCAGTCCAGAAGTTCTGCATTGTGTAAGAGGCCAACTGATGAGGCATTTTTGGTGGCATTTGCCCATTATACATACCTCTCTTTGTTTACTCCCATTGCTTTTCTGTTACCTATCTTCCTTATCTCCTGCTCTGCTTTACCAGTGCCTTTCATTTCATTGCTTGGTACTATCAGTGATCCTGGAACCAACAAATCTCCTGAATTTAAGTCCATTTTCCTTTGTTAACTATTCTCTGAAGATAGAAAACAGCTAGTCAGCATGTTTTCCTAATGGCCTTCATGAACTCAGAGATAAGCTGATCATTTGTTTTCCCTCCAGCTTAGTTCCTAACTTAAACTTTTTTGTCATTAAACCAATTGCTTTTTTGCTGCCTTATCTCCAAAAACTCGAGAAACTGAAATTAAAATAGGCTTTTGTTCACTATCTGAATATTTTTAGATACATTAATTGACTTTCTGGTTTTTTTTTTACAGATTCCTCCCGAATTTGATTTCTCTGCTCACAGATATTTTCCTGTTGTGAAACTTGTTTGAGAGAGACTGAAAAAGTGACCGTAAAGGGGGAGAATCTACTTTCAGTCTACTCTTAGAGGATCCATCCATCAGTCTTACCACATAACATGAAGTGAAATGGATTTCTTGGATAACAACCCATTATAAGGAATACTTTTAATTTGACAGCCTTATATGACGTGAATGAAAACTGCTGTTTTAAAGTGGTTTATTATGTTCCATGGGTGAAACTGGTCTTATTGAATGCATTGATGAACGTTATATGGTTTTATTACAGATTTAATCATAAATCATTTTTTATGAATGATTGAGTGAAAATAGTGTTTGTAAAGGTTAATAAATTTCTTGACAAAAAAATGCATACTGGTGATGAAAAACAATAGCACTTTCTTGATACATGTTAAGAACTGAAGGTGTTGACTCTTACCATTTGAGTAGTTCAGACACGAATTATCCTTATTAAACACTTGTATGGGGACTGGCCGGGTGGTGTAGTGGTTAAGTTCACATGCTCTGCTTCGCAGCCTGGGGTTCACTGGTTCGGATCCTGGGCGTGGACCTACATACTGCTCATCAAGCCATGCTGTGGCGGCATCCCACATCCAAAATAGAGGAAGATTGGTGACAGATGATGTTAGCTCGGTGGTGATCTTCCTCAAGCAAAAAGAGGAAGATTGGCAACAGATGTTAGCTCAGGGCCAATCTTCCTCACCAAAAAAAAAAAAAAAAAACCACTTGTATGGGATTTTGGCAAAATACAATTAAAAGAGATTTTTGGGGGGACCTCTAAACTATATAGGGAGACTAAATTACATGGGGATTGTGATTTTATGTGTTATGATATCTTAAATTATATACCTTTAAGAGTGTAGATGTTTTATAAAACATCCTTTGTTACTTTTGGCACTTTTAAAAGATTACACATCATGTTTGCTAGTGACATTATTCAAAAGGTAAGAATGTGTGTTAATTTTTAGGGCTAGGTTTAAACATGGCATACTCCTTTTTGTTTACAACTTCAGATTCAGTGTAACCCGTGAAACGTTTTCAAACGGGGTCTTTCCGAGTGTACTCTGGCTTTGGAAATTGACATAAGTCCACCTGTACGTACAAGTACCCAGTGCCAGAGGCTCCTCCCTTCCTTTGCTGCTCATTCCTCTTCCTGTCTCTGCTCTGCTCTTTTATCTCATGGTGCCATGGCAGCTGTCAAGTCTCTAGAGGCCTTCCCTTTTGTCCTCTGTAGGGGGCAATACCATGAGAAGAATGAGACTGGCTTAAATTGGCTTTTGGTTTACCCCAAGACTAGCAACAGTTTTATATTTGGTCTGTGGTAAAAAGAGTTCTGAGCTTCAAATATCTTAACTCTGATTTGACACCTCTCTTGCAAAAGTAGTACTGAGACTTGAATTCTGAAATTTAAAAGCACTTAACCTGACTCTTGCCTGCTATAGCAGAGCCGATTTTAGAGTAAGAACTTTCCTGACTCCTCTCTTCTCAGCGAATGAAGTAGACTGGCTCTCTCTGCCAAGAGTGGTAACCTGTGTCATCCAGAAACAGCCATTAGGCATCCTGAAATTTCAGAACCCAGAAGTCTTTAAAAAAAAAAAAAAAATAGTAGTCTGTACAATAGAAACTTAAGCTATGAAGAAATAAAAATATACCTTTTGGTATTTATTTGGTTAATTGAGAAGGAAAACACTGTTTCTGGCTAGTAATTTCTGAAAGCTTTAAACAAAAAAGGCAAAGAAATGATGGGAAATAGGCAATAGAAGAAAGAAAGAATCAAAAGAAAAAGCAAAGAGGATAACAGAGCAGCAAGATTTGGCCAACCGAGAGCCTGAGGCAAGTTGGAAGAAGAAAATGGATCATTGATGGTGCACTGTCAGTTAAGAGGGTGCTCTGGTGTTTTTTTTTTTTTTTTTTTTTGTGAGAAAGATCAGCCCTGAGCTAACATCCATGCTAATCCTCCTCTTTTTGCCAAGGAAGACTGGCTCTGAGCTAACATCTATTGCCAATCCTCCTTCCCCTCCCCCCCCCAAAGCCCCAGTAGATAGTTGTATGTCATAGTTGCACATCCTTCTAGTTGCTGTATGTGGGACGCGGCCTCAGCATGGCCGGAGAAGCGGTGCATCCGTGCGCGCCCAGGATCCGAACCCGGGCCACCAGCAGCGGAGCGCACGCACTTAACCGCTAAGCCACAGGGCCAGCCCATGCTGTGGTGTTTTTAACAGGTAGGTCTAATGGGGTCAGCTAGTGTAAATGAAAGTGACTGAGCAAGGGTTCTGCCTAATTATAGAGCATCTAGGCTGTTTTTTGGGCCTAGGTCTTCCTAAGAGCAAAGAGTGTTCCTAAGTTAACCCATTATCAACCTAAAAGTAAAAGATTTGTTAGTGTATGTTAATGACAGAATTGTGTGTGTTTTAAGTTGCTTTAATATTTTTTTTAACTGCAGGTTTCTAATCAGAAAAGTAGAAAGTTGCCTTTTTAAGAACTTTACCATTTTTTAGAACTCTTATCATTCAAGGTACTAAAAAATGATGATGGGGGATATAAGACCTCTCTCCTCGTAGAGTTTATAACCTTATGACTAATGCAGAAAAGCAAGCAGGTATTTATAATGCACTGAGGAAAATGGAGTATGCCGTATAGGAGAATCACATCACACACCAAGATTTATGGAGAAAGTCAGCATCTCTTGGAGCCCCAAAGGCTAATAAAGAGGTATTAGCTGGTAAAGGGGTCCTAGACAGGGAAACAGGATGTACACAGGCCTGGAGGTGAGATGGTGGCAGTCTGACCAAAGTGTAGAGCAGGACAAGGGATTGGAGAGAGAAGATTGGGCGATAAGGGAAGGCCAAGCCTCCAGAACTGGGAAGCCAATTAATGAATTTGGACTTGAGTCTGATATTTATTGGTGGATACTACTGAAAGGTCTGATGCAGGGAAATGACGGGTCAAATCAGATATGCTTGCCCAAGAAGACTGGTTCAAAAGGGGGCAGGACTGGAGGCAGGGAATCTGGTTAGGTGAGAGAACATGGTGGTCTTAATTAAGGTAGTGGCGGAGGGAGTGGAGAAGGTGGATGGAATCAAAAGATGTACAAGGTACAAGACTTGGTAAATGAGTGCGAGTTTGTGTGGGAATCAAGGGTGATTATTCATAGGTTTTATGGCTTTGGCAACTAGATGGATATGGTGCCATTTGCTTATGTAAGCAAAATAGAGTACGTTTGGGGATAAAGATTGCTTTAGACGTTGAGATGTTTTTGGGACATCCTGGTGAGGACAGCAGGTAGTTGTTTGGTCTGGAGCTGAAAGGTGCATTCTTGGGTGGAGATGTGTCGGCAGAGATGTAGATTCAAGCCTTGTCTGGAGGTTGCAGTTGCTCAGGGAGCATGTAGATGGGACTGAGATAGGTCCCTAGGAACAGAGTTGGGATAGCCAAGTTCTAAGAGTGAGCCAGGGAATGGGGAGGCAGCAGATAGGAGATGAGACAGGCTGAGAGAAGTGAGCGCCTAAAAACCATGCCATGCCACCCTTTGGCAAATTTCTGTTTCACTGTTTTGTGTTCACAAGACTGACTCTTCTAGCTAAGAAAGAAAGACATTAATTATTGGTCAAAGGATGCCAGGGAGGAAAGTTCCTTTCTGGCTATGCCTCGGGGCACTGGACAAAGCCTGTGAAGGAGACTTAGCAGGAAAATTAACAGAATGCAGGGCCACATACAGCTAAGAAGCCAGTAAGATAAGGACCAAAATGGGCCCATTGGATTTGGCACATAAAGATTGCTGGCAACAAGAGTGAAGGCCCTTTCCTGCAGAGGTGAGGCAGAAGCGGGAAAGCAAGCTGAGGGGTAGCGAGCAGGGTGAAGTAATGCAGTCAACTTGGCTGTGAAGAAGTGACTTGCCCACGTTCATATTTGCCCCGGCCTGTTCTTGGAGGAGCTGATATGATCATAACAGAGTCACTGTTCTCTGGTCAATGACACAGTCCTCACCCAGGAATGCCCCATCTGGCCACTTCATTTCTGCCCTCTCCCACTGGCTTCTCAAGCTGCAGCTGCACTGCCTCCCCTGACTACTAAGCCTCTTCTGGCCAATTTCTCCTCGTCCTTCAAGTTACAGCTGAACTGTCACATACTCAGGGAAGGCTCCTCCATCTCCTGGTTTAGGCCAAACCCCTCAAAAGTACTTAGCACTTTTAGCTGTAATTTAAATAGTTGTTTCTGTCTTCCCAACTGTAGTACACATTTGAGAAAAGGGACTTAATCTTTCCAGAACCTGCTCACTCAGTGGGATGTTGATGTTTTTTAAGATGCAGAAGACATCCTGATGGTAATGAGCTATCCTAGGGAAAACTGAACAGAAAAGGTACAAGACTACTAGGGCAGTGGGAAGGCTGCCTTTGCTTGGAGAGACACTTGGTGGTGAGAACACAGGAGGCTAGCAGTGCAGAGGAATTTGGAGGTGGCAAGTTGGAGTCTGGTGGCCTTTCCCCTAAACGGCTTGCTTCAGCTGATGAAAATGGTTGATTTGTCTGATATTTGCACATCAACCTAAGCACAAGTTAGCTATCAAATACTTTCAAATCTAACGAGGGTAGGGAACCAGAACTAGTTGCTATTGAGATAAGAAACCATAAAATAAACTTTGGACGACTGAATATTTTTGTCGTCCTATAGCTGCCAAAGGTGTTTTAAAAATTTGCTTTTGAAGTGTTGAAATGACCTGTCAGATATTGAACCAGTCCACCTATGCATTCCTTTACACTGTAGTCCTCTGCTAATACCAGAGGACTGGTATTACATTTAAAAAGAGAATTTATCAGCTTTTGGAGGATCAAGTTATTATGCAACAACTCTGAATTTCTAAATTACTGCAAAGATAAAGATGCAGTACCTGCAACCTTCTGTTTAAAATTCAAACTTAGCCAAGTTTAAAGGAAAATGTGGTGCTTTGTTCTGATCACAGGTTATCTGTTGACTTCTAGAATAACTTTTGAATGAGCCTATCTCAACAAACCAGAGCAAGGAGATTGTTATACCAAGATTCTCCTTTATAGGAAAAAACTAGCAGTTGTAGGCTGCTGGTTAAGGTCACAGAACTTCTAAATGCTACTCAGATGTTAAACTGTTGATAATGCACAGCTTTTTTGGAGAGAGAGAGAAAACATTTACGTGAACATTTAAGTTCTGGATAAAGGCAAACATGATACATCAGCCTAGAGGTTCCATTGCTGCGATTTTACTAGAGCTTTGAGAGAAATTAGTAAAAAGCAAGCTAACAACAGGAACTCTTCCACAAAGACTCTGGCTTACCTCTAAGGCTAAGTTGGTTTTCATCCTAGTTCTCGTCTTTAACTTTCATTCTAAAAAGGCATTTGGTCATCTAAATCTGTTTATAAAGGTTCTAAAAGGCAAAACCTTTTATATGGAAAATTAGGTTATCTGGGACCACGCCTCTGATCAATCACAATCATTCATTTGGACTTAATTGTCAAATATTTACCAAGCACCCATCACAGTATTAGAATCTTTGTAGGGGTACAAAGTGTGTAAGCAAGGTATAGTCTATGTCACTCAACTCAGGATTTTTATTCTACTTTAGGACTGGTTAGGGCCTTGGTTTATTAAAAAGCTCATTATCTGAAGTTTGTATGTAGTTTAAAGATGAAAATATTTCCAGTCATTTAACATTCCCAGAGATGTGTTTCACAGGCACACCAACAAGGATAGAAGCATTTTAGTTTTGGGTATAAGTGCACAGGAAGATATCTACTTAGAGTGATCCTTCAGTGTATACATTATCAGAATTTTACAAACCAATTTTTAAGAGCTTAGTACACTTGAAGAAAATGTTGCCCTCTGAGCTGAGAAACAGCACATAAACATACAAATACTGAAATACACAATTATCATAAGCTTATTTCCTTTTCAGACACTGATAAACATTTTCAAAGTCTAAGCTAACCATGTGGAAAAAAGTGTTATATAACCCACAGTTAATGGAGCATTTTAAAATTACATATTTTTCCTAAAATTCATTTCAAAGACCTGTTAGAAATTGTTGAGTATCCTATAAACTATCATTATTTATAATTAATAATCTTGTAGGGTAAAATACATAGTGGGAGCATACCGATGTCCGGGACCTTAAATGACCCTGATTTCACAATTCTCGTCCACCAGTCTACTAGGAATGGATAACCAGCTATTACCAATTAAAACAAGAGTCACGCTAGTTATCAATCTAGTTATTCATTAAACAGCATACTGACTTAACAGGTAATGATTTATTTCTCAAATTCCAGCACACAAAAGTACATTAAGTATGTGCAGTGAATTCGATTACTCATGAAATCTAATCCCGGGTTGCTTAGGGACTCTCCATCGGCAGTCCTATCTGTAGGGAAAAAAGATCAAATGAATCATCACTCCTGTCTACACACCATTTGAGAGTATAGAGGAAGGTGTGAGTTAGAGTTTACACCTGTTAAAAACTGGAATAACTGCTTGATTTAATTTTGGATGAAACCAAAAGACCAAGGTGAGGGTTTTGATATCTACCTGATGCTTATTACACAGGTTTTTGTTTTTTTGTTTTTTTTAATAGCCATGACACCTTTCAATTGTTGCCTCGGAATAGGTGCCTGTGATCCCAAGGGAAGCCAGTGGTAATAAAGCAGGACTGCCTGGAGAAACAGCTCCAAGTACACACCCCTGAACGAATGGCCTTTTGGTGCCTGTGTTCATGAAGATGAAATCATCACGGTTCTTTTTTATTTACATTGACATTCCATCTCACTCCACAAAAGGTTTAAGGCAAACCACCATCCTTAATCCACAATTTAAAAGCTGATTCTTTAGGGATCCAACAGGGGATGAAGGGAAAACTGAAAGCAGTTTTAAAAGCTGAACTAACAGAATATTTTATTTCTCAGCAACTGTATGCACACTGATTAAACATGAGATGAATACAGGCTTTATTAGTTACTTGAAAAAGCAAGAGAATATCAACCCCAAGACTAAGACACAAAGGGAGGTTGGACAAGGACTTAAGATAAACTCTTATAAGCTACTTTTATACCCTCTTCAGTTGCCTTTTCTGGATGGAAGAGTTTAATCTTGGTGATTAGGTAAAAGGATATCACATGAAGAACATTCAAGTTGGAGATCTTAAGCTGGATGCAAACCAGGTCCCAATTCAGTGACTGCTGGGGCACAGCGAGTCCACACTGGGCGTGAGGCCAGGCCTCCGGCTCACCAGCTCTCTGGCCTGGATAAGCTCCATAACTTCTCTGGGCCCCGTTTCCTCTCTGAAAATTCGGGGTTTACACCAAATGACCTGAGGCCCCTGCATCTCAAATCCTGTTACTTGAAATGTATTTTAATAAGCATCACCACCCACGCACACTTTAGAGAGCCTCACTGAAAGTTGTTAGTGTGACTTTTCAGTCATTCACAAGTGGCAAGGGCCTATTTACCTTAAATATTAAGAACCAACTCAAGTCAAACCTAATGTCACTATTATCAATGTGAATTATGATTAGTCATTTTCAAATTAACATTAACGTGATTTTTAAATCAGTTTTGTGATAGTTACCACAAGCTAAATATGCAGACTGACAAAAACAGCTATTCCTTTCTTTTGCCTTCCTAAACGTTCCCAATTTGTGACACTCTACGTATCCTTAACATCAGCTGTCGCTCCTTTTACTCTAGTGAAGTAGGCAGTCTGTCCACAGCAAACCTGCCTCCCCAGTGCTGTGCTGCCTCCCTGCTCTGCCACAGGCGCCCCAGGTCCACTCTGCTTTGCCCCCTGCTGGGTCAAAGGTCTAATACCCTCGTGGTCTTCCTTGGTAATACGGACTTAGTACACAAGATTTTGCTTTGCTCACACATATGAGCAAAGTAAGTATAGACCACAAGTGTTCAAATTACACGTCACTTAAAAGCATTTGGTACATTAATGACAAGGGTTATTATACAAGTAGTCTTTTTAAAAATTCTCGCACGAAACACCTTTAAATGAGTATTTAGACTCATTTAAAACAGTTGCTAGTGATGTTTGTGTTAACAGTCAGTGCTCTAGGCCACTGTCTGTCAGAACCAGAAATGCACGCACAAGAGCATACACCAAGAATCGTTCAGCTGACCAGGGAGAACAGAGATAGGGGCCGGTACCAGTTACTCGGCACAGCACGTGGAGAAGAGAACGACTCCAGAGGGAACCCAGAAAAAGGAGTTCTCCAGCGCGGCAGGTCTCTCCTTCATGTCAGAAGATGGGCTCTCCCTGCAGGCTTTTATTTTTTAAACAAAGTTATCTCTCAGAATAAGAAGCGCCACTGTCGCCATACTTGAAGAATTTGGGTTCTATTTTTGGTGTTGATCTTCTCATGAAATACCTATTAGCCGACAAATTTTGACATTTTAATATTGACACTTCAAAAGTACCCCCAAAGAGTGTCTAAAAGACAATCTCATTTTCCTACATAAAGTACATACTAAAACTCCACAATAATTGTCTTCAGATGTATGTTTTACTTAGTACATTTCACAGTATTCAAACTTGCATGAGCATTCTGTAGTGATCTCTGTACAATCCTGACACGGAGTACGGAATTCCAGTTTGATTCAGAGTGTATGATTCCTCTTTTCACGCTGATCAAGTAAATTTACTGTGTCTCTTTTCTGATTTTCTGCATTAAGAACTAAAAAGGAAAGAAAAAACACACAATATTCTAGTGGTAAACATTTTGAGAAACCAGCCCAAGCAGGTCCTACCTGACATAAGTGTCTGGAAACTGTGTCATAAAGAGAACTGTATTTCCCACGGCAATATTATAATGTGGATTTGCATTCCAGATCAAGGACAAGATAGCAAAAAAGATCATACATACATGGCCAACAGGGTGCCATGAAACAAAGCTAAAACATCGGAAAACTCTATAATTGTTTAAAATAGTGAAATAATGCCCCATCTCCTACAAAATGGACTATATAAAATGTACTCATAAAATTTTTGATATGATCACAACCCTGGTGTGCTGCGTGAATCCCTCTGGTGGTGCACCTCCAACACGAAGCACACTGTGTTAGTGCCATCTGCAGGGCTGGTCAGCTCTTGTTACTCAAAGCTCTTCCTTGACAGAGCCGAAGTCTTTATGTGGCTTCCACCACCCTTACTCTATCCTTCGACACACAAAGGACATAAAAAGACACATCACAAATAAAACCTAAAACCAATGTCCTGATTTACAACTACTGCACATTAAACGGTTAATAATTTTATTAATTAATTAAATGACGGCCTTAAATTAATAGTGTCTTTTAAAGTTCTCTAATAAAATTGGAGCTAATGCCTTTTTCTTCTAATGTCCCTGGAGGAAACAGGGTCTTAAACCGTTTCAATGACAATCTCAAGATGATGTTGATGAGATTTCTTCAACTTAAAACTCTTTCTTAAAAGAGCTGACAGAGCATTTATCTTCTTTACTTTGCCTACCCCCTCACTTAAATCCTTAGAGGACACTCAGGAGTAGGGAGTGAAAGATCCCAAAGCTTCACCAGCAAGCCGAACATTCTGTAGGACAGTAGGCTCATTCCCGGTGAGGGAAGCACACCACTCGTCTGTCGGTTGTGGTACTGTGGCAGCTGTGTGTGGCTGTGATGCTGACAGCTCTGCCACCGTACTTCAAATACCAGCAGGGTCACCCAGGTGGACAGGCTTCACTGGAGCTTACAGACTAGGAAGGACCTGGCCACCACTTCCAAACAAACTGGCCATGAAAACCCTATGAATAGCTGCGGAGCATTGTCTGCTATATTGCTGGAAGGGGAGAGGATGCTGCAGAAAGACCAGGCAGGTTCCATTCTGCTGTACACGGGCTCGCTAGGAGTCAGAATCAACTCGATGGCACTAACAAAAAGCTCATTTAAAAGAATGTTAAAAGAGATGTGAGACAGTAACTATACCAGAAAACATGCTATTCAAGACCTGAGGTACACAAATGAGTGGAGTCAATGATGAAGAACAGAAAGATGGAGAGACCTTACATTTGCTTAAAATTCTGACTGCTAATGTGTTAATCTTTTGCATTAAAAAATTACCTAAATAGTCCATGAAGATAATTTAAAAATCAAGTTAGGACTTGCATTTCTAGAAACCCCAAACAACTCTGCCAATTGTAATAATTAACATGCTGCAGAAAATATGAAAGATACTTTTTAAGAACACCGTTGAATCAAACTGAGAACCCAAATTGAGGGATTTTTCTACCAAATAGCCGGCCAAAACACTTCAAAAAATATCAATGTCACAAATGATAAAGTCAGACGGTTCCAGGTTAAAGGACACTGAAGAGGTAGGACAATAAACGCAGCACATGATCCTGGATTAGATCCTGCACCAGATAAGGGATACCGGTCAGACGATTCACTAAATTTAAATAATGTCTATAGGTAACAGCATTGTGTCAATATTAATTTCTTCATTGTACTATGGTTACATAAGATTTTAACATTTGGGGAACCTGGGTGAACGGTATATGGAAATTCTTACCATTTTTTAAAAATCTAAGTCATTTCAAAATGAAAAGTTAAAATTTTTTTAAAAAATTAAACATTAAAACACACTGCCTATAATGGCAATAAAAGAAGGAATCTGCCAGGCCAAAAATGAAGTGCAAGTAACAACTCCTAAGGTAATAAGCATCACAGCCACCAGTCCTGAGGATTCTGTGGAAGCTCGAGGACACGGCCTTCTCCCTTCACGGTTTCAAAAGCTGCAGGAGAACAAAAACTAAAGACTAGGGCTCCACTCAGGATGCGGAGTCAAGAAGGGGAATCCTATGTGAAGCTGAGACCCCACAGGCTCACATCCTTGGCTTAAAGGTAACGGGAAATAAACCTCCAAAGAAAACGCGACAGCAAGAAAGCCCAGTGTGTGGATTCTTAACCACAGGAGATGGTTGTGCCAATTTATAATTTGAACTTACATTTCCTATGTGATCCAAAAAAAACCCTATAGAAAAGAATTTACTTTATTAAAGAGGTTGTGAGTTTGTAGTGCCCTCCTTGAGACTGGCAGAGGCAAACTACATTCCCCAGTGGAATACTGTAACTCAGTCCTGAAGACTTCCCACAGATAAGGTTCCAGGGAAACTAGTAGCTCACAGTCAAAAAGCACAAAACTCACAAGCAAACAAAGTATCACGAGTGAGAATGTGCAGAAACAACAGAAACACAAAGTTTTCAGATACTGCAATTAGAAGCCAGGGAATATAAGACAAATCTCTGTGATGTATTTAAAGAAATAAAAGTGTTTGAAAACATGAGCAAGGAATAAGGGCCCATACAGAATGGCCAAGTAGAAAGTTTACAAACGAAAAATAAAATAACTAAAATTAAAAACAAAGCATGAATTAAAGAACAGATAAGGTATAGCTGAAGGAAAAATTGTTGAACTAGAAGATATTTCTGAGGAAATTATTCTGAATACAGACCAGAAAGGCAGGAACGGAAAATACGAAAAAGAGGGTAAGAGACATGAACAGAATAAGAAGATCTAACACACTTATCATTTGAGTTAAAGAAGGAATCAAAAAGGGAAGCAACATTATTCAAAGAGATGTTGGCTGAGATTTTCCAGAGGGAATAGATTTGCCAGGTATTTTAAAAAGCTGTTATACATAGAACAGTGTGGAACAGTGTGAATCAACAGAGAAATCAATGGAACAGAAATACAAAGTCCAAAAATTAGACCCAAGTACATATTTTGGTATTTGATGAAGGTGGCACCTCAAATCACCGGCTTTGATGGCAATTTGAGATGGTACTGGGCCAAATGGACAGCCCTTTGGAAAAAGAAAATTGGACCCATTCCTCATGCCATATACCTGAACACATTTGAAATAAATCAAATGAATCAAGAGATCTCAATGTAAATATGAAAGCAGAAGAGGATTCTGGAAAGATGGTGGCAACAGTGGTATGGTTTTTGAATCTCTAAGTCCCTACATAAAGCAACTAAAGTTTAGCAAACTAAACAACTCAAAAACCATGGACAACATTTACAAAACTGGATGATAAGGAATCCTGCAAACCCCAAAACACAAGCAGTTAAAGACAAACCATGGACAGCTACACATATGATAGCAGCATCTAGAAAGAAAACAGAAGCAACAGAGCATCTGATGAACCTGAGAACAAGAGAACCCCAAACAGCCAACAGATTTACACCAGAAAGTACCTGGGCCAATGGGTGAACTGCAGCGAGCACTGGGCCAGTTTCCGCCACTTCCACAGCGAGTGACCACAAAGTGTCCATGCTAAGGACTGACGGGTGGGGGAGGCTGAGTCCCATGAACTGCTGCAACTCATCTGCCAGGGCTCCTTTCTGGGGCTCCTTCCCAGGCAGAGGCCCTCAGAGAGAACAAGTGCCGAGTGGGGAGAGAAGCAGTGGCTGAGCAGGACAGGGGCCAAGAGACAAAGGAACCTGACGGTTCAGATAAAAGTGGGGAAGGCCCCACCGGCCAAAAGATGCGACAATGTGAACTTCAAAAAGGATAATAAATGCAACTGAGTGAGACCCATCAAATAGGCTTAAATCCTTACGTTTATAATTATATTTTAAAAATGGTCACCTTCAGAGGATGTGAGGGAAATAATTCCTTATTATGAAAATTGGTAAATAAAAAGAAAGAATCAAGCATTTATCTGCCTATACGATATGAACAATACCATAACTATTTATAAAATATTCCAATTAACAAATGAAATAGAAATGGCTGAATTAAAATACCACCAATGAATTAATAAAGGCACTGAGCATCAACTGCCGCTCACCTCACAAAACGCAAGACACCAGAAGTACGTGCTTCCTGATGAGGGAACACACCACCATTTGTCATCTTACCAGGGCTGGAGCCCACATACCAAGGAAGAGGGAAGAACATGCTAACCACACCACGGATATACAATCACACTCTCCATACTGTGGAGAACCCCAGGTCAAATGGTTTGGCTCTTTAACAGACTGTAAGGAAAGGAAAGGAACGGAGAGGGAATCTGTAGATTAAGAGAGACGTCAAGACATCTAAAATTTAAGAAAATGGGGACGTCCAGGGATGCCCATGTGATAAACCCATAAAGAAATGAAAGCAAATGCCTACTGGAAAGGTCAGGAAGGGCGTTTCTACTACTGGGACAGGGAAGGGGCTCTGGAGGGCCAGCCAAGCTCTGTTTCTTGACTGGGGGGAGGAGGGAGCAGTCACAAGGTAGTCACCTTCTAAAAATTCGTTTGTTTTGTGTGGTTTTCTGAATGTTTTACTTCGTAACAGAACTAAAAGAAAAATTTGAAAGCATACTGAACAAAAACATGGGTGAATTCCTTCCAGTGCTAGATGGGAAACCTTTCTAACTATGACTCAATATCCAGAGGCAATAAAAGAAAAGACAGGGGCCGGCCCCGTGGCTTAGCAGTTGAGTGCGCGCGCTCTGCTACTGGTGGCCCGGGTTCGGATCCCGGGCGCACACTGATGCACCGCTTCTCCGGCCATGCTGAGGCTGCGTCTCACATACAGCAACTAGAAGGATGTGCAGCTATGACATACAACTATCTACTGGGGCTTTGGGGAGAAAAAGGGAAAAAAAAAGGAGGAGGATTGGCAATAGATGTTAGCTCAGGGCCAGTCTTCCTCAGCAAAAAGAGGAGGATTGGCATGGATGTTAGCTCAGGGCTGATCTTCCTCACACACACACAAAAAAGACAAGACATAAAAATTTTTCAAACTTTAGCATAGCAAAAACACCATAAGCGAAACCAAGACTAACCGGGAGAAGGTATTTGCCGCTTACATCACAGATAAAGAGCAATCACCCTAGCATATAAAGAGCTCTTAAAAACTGAGAAAGAAAATGTTAAGAATTTGACAGAAAAACAAATTTTAACAAAGGGAAGCATGAGTCCACAGTGATACTAAAACAAACATGCGCGTTCCTTAAAGAATGGCAGCTAATAAATGCAAGAGATGACAGGATTAGGAAGGTCACCATTTAGACAAGGGTTTTCAATGGACGGTAAAGCCACCTCATTTCAAAGCATCCCCTCTAGATGACTATCCAGTCACGAAGGGAAAGTGGACCTTTGACATGGAGAGACCTGGTGGGCACTGTCTTAACCAAGTGATTAACCTGCCATTACGTGCCTCCTGGTGTGAAACAAGAGGAACATACCTGCAGCTACAAAAATGTTCAACCTGAATCCAGTCACAAGGAAACAGACAAATCCAGAATCTGATACATCCCCCTGGCCTGGACTCTTCAAAAATTCAAAACAATAATAATACAAAGTGCTACTATAAAAAGCCGTCTGGAAGCTCTGGGCATACACTAGGGCTTTTTGACTAGTGCTATAGAGTGATCAAGTGGTGCCCTGGCCATTTTGTTGGGCAATCCCTTCACGTCACTGAGGACAAATCCTCCAAACAATTCCTGAGGGCTTGAGCCCACTGTACACGCAGACTTTCTGAAAGGTCCTCTTCATCTTGGGCTTCTCAACCCTTCACCTCCCTCCACTGCCCCTACATTCCAGGCTTCTGAAGACGACAAAGTCTCCTTCATATGATGGACTACCTACAATATTACTGTTGGATTCGCTGTATAGTCACTCCAGAAGTGAGGGACCACAAGGCAGAAATGAAAGGTGACCCACCCGACTCCAGTTATTACCATTTACGTTTCTGTCATTCCCTGCAAGGGCTGCCTGCTTGTCTCTCTCAGATTCTGCCTCATTTTCATCCATGTTGTAGTCATCGTCTCCTCCCAGTTTCTGCTGGTTTCTCCCTATAAAATTAGCATGGACACATAAAACATAAGCTACATCAATTCTCTCTTGATGCCACAGGATCACCAGAGCCCAGGCAGCAGGAGTCATCCCAATCATCGTTCAAGAACCAGATCTTTGTGCTACCTCCCAGGAATAGCAGGGATTCATGTGCTTGCTTCCAGTGCAAACAGCATGGAGGAGTTCTCTACTTACACACGGCCCACTTCAGCCCTGATCTATATAAAATATAACCCTAAAACAAAGGGCTATCCTGCAGGCTGGAAATGGGCAAACTAGCTAACTAAGCCAAAATCCTGGTTTTTTAAAGAGACAATCAACTCAAAGTGAAAGGAAAGTACCACTGTTTTTGGAAACAACAGGTTTCTGGTGAATGAGAGCATCTCCTTAGAATGGCTCTTTGCTCTGACAGAAGGAAATGGAGCGGCTCTTGTGACCCAAAGAATAAAATTCTCCATCACACGTACAGAATTAGGTCCTTCTTCACTACATTCATCCCTGGACAGAAGAGCAACCACAAAAGATCAGGACAAAATGCCTACAAGAGACATACTCATAGGGCTTAATGTAAACATTTTATATATGTTACACAGGGAGGCAAAGTCTTTTTTTAAAAAGCACGCCTGGAAAAGTTAGCCCTAGTTATGCTTCTCTGCACCCACTGGCTGAAGCGGAAAGGAGGCACGGGCCTGTGAGGCCTGCAGCTTCAGTCCACAGTTGGCATCACTACAACTGCTCTAGAACGAGGTGTCTCCCACAGGCCCTGCAGTACCGAGGCCAACCTTCAGCTGTTCACTTTGTGACCAGCTGCTGAGTGGTCTGACGCTCGAGTGCCACGGGATCAGCCACTCCAGCTTGCTTTTTTCCCCCCCATTTTTTAACTGAGAACTTGTGGAACACATTCTTCAGAAAGAGAACTTAAGTGAAAATTAGATTTAAATGAAATCAGGATAACTTCTGCAAATAAGCACATTCCCCAAATTCTGTTACTTGGTTTGTCCCAGAGCACAGTGGTTTTCTACAGACGGCCCCCTACGTAATGATGGTTCGACTTAGGATTTCTCTACTTTATGATGGTGTGAAAGCGATACACACCCAGTAGAAACCATACTTTGAACTGTGGTCTTCCCCGGGCTGGCGATGTGCAGTAGGACACGCTCTCGTGACGTTGGGCAGCGACATGGCGCCTCAGCTCCCCTAAGCCCTGCCCTCGCGAGGGTGGACAACCAATGCACTGACAACCATTCTGTTTTCCACTTTCAGCACAGTATGCAATAAATTATACGACGTATTCTATACTTTATTATACAATAGATGATTTGTGTTAGATGATTTTGCCCAACTACAGGCTAATGTCAGTGTTCTGAGCACGCCGAAGGTAGGCGGGGCTAAGTTATCATGTTCGGTAGGTTAGGTGTATTAAATGCATTTTTGACTTAGGATATTTTCAACATATAACAGAACTTTATCAGGACGTAACCCCGTCATAAGCTGAGGAAGATCTATATTTAAGTGCTCCCATCTTGGCTGGGATTAAAATTTTTCACATTTTTAAGGGACCAAAATACATCCCAGAATATTCTGTTGATCTCCATTTCCTACAGTTTCCTTTAAAAAAAAAAAAAAATGTCAACCAAACCAGAAAGGGATTCAGGTGTCACTTTTCCACAATGCTCAAATATGCACGAAGCTCCATCTATCCAATCGTTCCTCCCCCCCTCCCTGCACTCACCAGACACTGACTGTGGCCCCACGTGAGGAAGTGGAGAGGCGGACCAGGCGGGTGGCCCGCCTGCCACGAGGCCATGCTGACGTGATGCTGAGCGCCCACCTCAAGCTCTTACACCTGAAAAGGCCCCTTGACTCACTGTGAAGATTATTTCTGAAACTTCCAGGTGCGGCGGAGTGCACGGCCCTGCCCGCCTGCCTCCTACTTGATAATGGATAGCAAGCAAACAAAATGAACCCCAGACGGTGAGCTGCTGCTTGGTAAACCTCACGGTTACCCACGAGGAAGGAGACTGAGAGGGCCAGTGCCTGGTGGAAAGGAGCTGGCTGGCAGCCTGCAGAGCCTCGTACCCACCTTCCTCATCAGCATCCTGCTCCTCCTCCTGCCCATCGGCAACGACGAGCTGCTCCGGCTCAGGGCCCCCCGTATCCTGATTTTCCTGGCTCTCCAACAGGGCAGCTGGCACCTGTGGGGTTTGGCCAACTTCTCCGACACCTTTTCCACCCGCATGTCTGTCTTCTTCCACAGCCTGCTCTCGCCCTGGCTCCTGCGGCAGCCCCTGGCTGTCTCTCCGAAGCTCCGCCTCGCTGACAACCTGAACCTCATTGGTTTCCTCTGTGCAAAGAACAGAGTTAGCTGTGACATCATGAGCATTTAATTTAATTAAAACAAAAACAAAATCCCTAGTACCACTCAATTTCCAGAGCCTTCCCAAGGAGGGTGGATAGGGTGGGCTGTGGATGGGCGGGGCAGTTGGGTAATTTATTTTGTGACCTAAGCAGCAGACTCTAGGCCTCTCTATGCCTGCAGCTCATCTTCAGAACCATGAGGAAGAGAAAAGTGGTTTAGAGAAAAAAATCTGGACTAAGTTATCTCAATTACAGCAACAACCTACAAGTGGAGGAAGGTGTACTGCTGAGGTTAACTGGTTGTCATATCTGTTTGAGACAAGTACTTGGGAGCCAGTGACAGCTGCCTAGGACTCAGCCACCTCCCCTTAATCTCATAGTCCCACCAATGTCCTAAATAAAGGTGCAGCCTGGACCTTTCTTTGCACAGCTGCCAAAGAACAAGGCACTTAGTTTACAAGGATGAGATGTCGGCAAGACAGAGGAAAAGCCCTGTGGCCCCAATTCCCGGTGCCCAGAGACACTCGCCTGCCACCTGCAGCCTGATTACCAAGCTCAGCAACCGTCTCCAGCAGCACACTCTGCCCTTGCAGTATTCGTACGGAGTGGATGGCATGAACCGCTGCTGCGTTTTTATTTGAATGGGGCTCCAAAGAGGGCTTAGACGTAATTACCAAGCTTCACTTACCTTTTTCACCTTGTCTCTTTGAATCCAAAGCTGCCTCAGCACTGGGGGCTGGTGTCTGGGGCTCGCCATTGCTGGGCACGTTTCCTTTCCCTTGTGGCACCTCTGCCTGGGGCAGGCCTGCCTCCGGCGGCCTGGGCTGAGGCTCACTGACGGCTTGGAGCTGAAAGGGGAGCACAGGATGGCCAGGGCAGGGGCTCCGTGACCACACACTTCCAACAACCCACCACAAAAGCCCACCACATCCTTCTGACAAATACAATCACTGAAACCCTGAGAAGTGCCAGGATCTATCCCGATGGTGCCCAACACCTGGCATAAAACAGAAGACCTGAGCCTGAGTCAAGATCTCCCAGAAGTACTTTCAATAATGGAATTAACAAGTAGGTGGAAGATCAACAAGGAAACAGAAGACTTGAATAACACTGTAAACCAACTAGACTGAACAGACATCTACAGAACACTCGACCCAACAAGAGCAAAACACCTTCTTCACAAGTACACACGGAATGCGTCCTAGGACAGGACAGATGCTAGGCCACAAAACAAGCCTCGACAAATTCAGAATCACTGAAATCATACAAAGTATGTTTTCCAATCACAATGGAATGAAGTCATAAATCAATAACAATGAAATCTGAGAAATTCACAAATATGTGGAAATTAGACAACATGCTCCTAAAAAACCAATGTGTCAAAGAAATCACAAGAAAAATTAGAAAGTACCCTGAGAAAAATTAAAACCAAAACACAACATACCAAACTTATAGGAGGCAGCTAAGGCAGTGCTCAAAGGGAAGTTTACAGGCCTCTATTAAGAAAAAAGATAGATCTCATATCAATAACCTAATCTTCCACCTTAAGATACCGGGAAAAGAAGAGCAAACTAAACCTAAAGCAAGGAAAGACAAAATAAAGATTAGAGCAGGCATTAATGAAATATGGAATAAAAAACAATAGAGAAAGTCAATGAAACCAAAAGTTAGTTCTTTGAAAAGATGAACAGAATTGACAAACCTATGGCTAGATTAACTGAGAAACAAGAGAGAAGACTCAAATCACTAAAATAAAAAATGAGCGAGGACAACACTACCAACTTCACACAAATAAAAAGGGGAATGCTCTGAACAACTTTTTGCCAACAAGTCTGATAACTTAGATGAAATAGACAAGTTCCTAAAAGACACAAACTACCAAAACTGACTCAAGAAGAAGTAGAAAATCTGAGTACATTTATAACAAAAGACTGAATTAGTAATATAAAAATTTCCCCCAACAAAACCCCAGGCCCAGACGGCTTCACTAGTGAATTCTACCAAACATTTAAAGAATCAATACCAAATATTCACAAACTATTCTAAAAACAGAAGAGGAAGGTATACTCCCCAACTTACTCTATGTAATGAATGAGTAATTCATTACAGTAATTACCCTGATACTAAAGCCAGACAAAGACCTCAGGAAAAAATAAAACTATAGATCAATATCTCTTATGAATTATAGACACCAAAATCATCAATAAAATAGTAGCAAACAAACCCAGCAACATATGAAAGGATTATACAACATGGCCAAGCGGGATTTATCCCAGGAATGCAAGGTTAGTTTAACATCTAAGAATTAACGTAATACATATCAACAGCATAAAGGACAAAAAAAACATGATTGTCTCAATAGACGCAGAAAAAAATCTGGCAAAATCCAACACCTCTTCTTGATAAAGACACTCAACAAATTAAGAATAGAGGGGAACTTCCTTGACTTGATCAAGTGCATGAAAAACGTACAGCTAACATCAACTTAATTGAAAGACTTAATGCTTCCCCTCTATGATCAAGAACAAGACAAGGATGCCTGCCCTTACCACTTTAATTTAACACTGTACGAGAGGTTCTAGCCAGGACAAATAGGCAATAAGAAGAAATAAAAGGCATCCAGATTGGAAAGGAAGATGTAAAACTATCTTCCTTTTCCTATTTTAGATGACATGATCTCGTATATAGAAAATCCTAAGGAACCACAAAAAATATGATTAGAATAGACAAGTTCAGCAAGGTTGCAAGATACAAGATCAATACAAAAATGAATTGTATTTCTATACACTAGCAATAAACAATTTGAAAATGAAATTAAGAAAACAATTCCATTTATAATAGCATCAAAAAATACTTAGAAATAATTTGAACAAAGGAAGTGCAAGACTTCTGAAAACTATAAAACATTGTTGAAAGAGATTTTTAAAGGACTTAAGTAAGTGGAAAGATATCTCACATTCATACATCGGAAGACTTAATGTTGTTAAGATGGCAATACTCGCCAAACTGACCTACAGATTCAACGTAATCTCTGTCAAAATCCCACCTTGCTTTGTTGAGAAACTGGCAAGCAGATCCTAAAATTCATATGGGAAGTCAACCAGTGCAGATTAGCCAAAATAATCTTGAGAAAAAAGAACAAAGTTGGAGGAATCACACCTCCTGATTTCAAAGCTTACTACAAAGCTACAGTAATCAAGACTGTGTGGTACTGACATAAGAAGAGACAAAGAAATCAATGGAATAGAATTGAGAGCCCAGAAATAAACCTTCAGATTTATAGTAAACTGATTTTGACAAGGGTGCCAAGACAATTCAGTGGGGGAAAGAATGGGCTTTTTTGCAACAAATGGTGCTAAGACAAATGGATATCCATATGCAAAAGAATCAAGTTGGACCTCTAGCTCATACCATGTACAAAAAGTTAAATTAACTCAAAATGGACCATAGGACTAAATGTAAGAACTAAATGCTAAGAACTATAAATCTCTCAAATGAAAATATAGGAGTATATCTTCATGACCTTGGGTTAGGCAAAGCATTTTTAGATATGACACCAAAAGAACAAGCAATAAAGGAAAAAATAGATAAAACTAGACATCATCTAAAACTTGCTTCAATAAACACCATCAAGAAAGTGAAAATCAACTCAGAGTGGGAAAAAATATTTGCAATCATATATTCAATATCTTTATATATGTATGAATATATAAAGAACTCTTACAACTCAATAATAAAAATAACTCAATTTAAAAACGGACAAAGATTTGAACAGACATTTCTCCAAAGAAGATATACAAATGGCCAACAGGGCATATGAAAAGATGCTCAACATCATTAGTTACCAGGGAAATGCAAATCCAAACCACAATAAGAAACCACTTCACACCCACTAGGACAGCTATAATGAAAAAGACAGATAATGACAAGAGTTGGCAAGGATGTGGAGAAACTGGAACCCTCGTAAACTGCTGGTGGAAATGTAAAATGGTACGATCACTTTCTGAAAATACTCTGGCAGTTTTTCAATACATTAAACACAGAGTTACCATATGACCCAACAATTCCACTCCTAGGCATATGCCTAAGAGAAATGAAAACTTAAGTTCACACAAAAATGTGTACATGAATGATCATAGCAGCATTATTCATAGTAGCCAAAAAGTGGAAATAACCCAAATACCCATCAACTGACAAATGACTAAACAAAATGTAGTACACCCATACAATGGAATATTATTCAGCCATAAAAAGGAATGGAGTACTGATACATGCTACAACATGGATGAATCCTCAAAGTATTATGCTAAGTGAAAGAAGTCAGACACAAAAGACCACATATCGTACAATTCCACTGATATGAAATGTCCAGATAAGGCAAATCAAGAGAGACAGAAAATAGATTAGTGGTTGTCTAGGGGACTGGGGGTAAATGGGGAGTGAGCTAATGGGTACAGGGTTTCTTTCTTTTTTTTTATTTTGAGGAAGATTAGCCCTGAGCTAACATCTGTTGCCACTTCCACGGGCTGTGCTTTACACAGGAGGCGGCCGGACGGCACGGGCTCTGGTCAGCTCCACCACAGACCAGGTGGGGCCACAGCTGGCCACAGTATGTCACCCTCTCCGTCGGACTCAGTGCCCTCAAAACAAGAAAACAATAGCGACTCTGTCCCAGGACGGCCTCGAGCTTTCGGTGAGGGAATCCCTGTGGAGCCCCGAGCCCTGAGCGTGGGGCTGGGACCAGAGAGCAGCGTATTCCTCACAGTCTCGGCATCCCGGGACCAGGCTGCTGTGTCTCAGGGAACCAAACTCGCAAGGAAGAGCAGAGATCAGAGCCAATCAGACAGCGGGGAAGGGAACACAATGCCTCAAGAGACGGCAGGAACACTTTCTCGAAATCCTGGGCAGAGAAAAACCAGAATTACCTGCTGGTTTGGGTGCTTTTTTTCACGCAGGTCCCTGGAAGCTACAGCCTCATTCCCCTTTTTGGTGACTTCTTCTATTCGCTCCTCACACTGCTCCTTCACCTCCTTCATCTGACTGATGCACTGGCTCCTTTGGTGAAAGAAAGCACAAGGAAGGTCAGATATTTACAGATATGTCTACACACCAATATGTCCCTGCTGTGACTGTGAAACCACTTCAGAAAGACAGACAGCACATTGCCTTCCTACTTCCGGCACTTTCCCTGAAGAGGACTCTTACAGCAGAGCAACAAGTGTGTTTTCAGTTATTAAATGACAAGACAACTGTAGTTCACGGAAACTTACTAAAAATATGTCACATTGTTCTAAAATAAGTGACCTTCACTGGTTAGAAAAATCAATTTTTTAAAATACAACGTGTGGCATAATAAAAAAAATATTTGGTCTTTGTCCCCAGCTATTAGCACAGAGCTCCTAAAACCCCTGGAATTTCCTGAGTAATGAGAGTGTCTTCTGTTATTCATAATGAGCCCCTGTGGACCACACTCGAGTTTACGCTAATGAGGTGACTCACTGGGAGGAGCCTACATACCTCCTCCAGGATGGAGGCGGGTGGTCAGAGGAACAGACCACATGATCAGAGGGCTGGCACTTGCAGCCTCACCCTCATCCTCCAGGGAGCAGGAAGGAACTGAAGACTGAGTTCAATCACGTGGCCAATGACTTAACCAATCAAGCCCATGTAACAAAACCTTAGATGAAAACTCTGGACCATCAGGCTTGGCAAGCTTCCTGGTTGGTGAACATATCTATGTCCCAGACGGTGGCACCCCCAATCCAACAGAAGCTCCTGCCTGCCCCCCACCGCAGACCCTGCCTTACGAGTCTCTACCATTTAGCTGGTCCTGAGTTGTACCCTTCATATTAAGACTGTCCGTGTAAGTACAGAACTCTCCTGAGTTCTGCGAGTTCTTCTAGAGAATTATTGAACCTGAGGGGGCTGTGGGAAGCCTTGAATTTGAGGCCAGCCCAACAAAAGTACAGGTGGCTTGGGGACACCCAGAACTTGTGGCTGCTGTCTGAAGTGGGGGCAGTCTTGTGGGACTGAGCCCCTTAATCGGTGGGGTCTGTGCTAAGTTCTGGATAGTGTCAGAGCTGACCTGGACTTCCACTTCCAGGAAGAAGGAATAGATGTATTTTTGCCTATTCCTCCTCACTAAGCACAACTAAAAACTCTGGACATTATCTTCAAAACAAACATAAGAAAACTCTGAAAGGTAGAGAGAAGAAGGCAGACTGGCTATGGACCTCAGGATCTAAAGGACACCACCGTGGTGTCATCACAAAGTTCAGGGGAAGCCTTCGTTTCCACCCCACCTGACAGTACTGAGCCCCCCCACCCCCACCATGGGGTGGTGTCAGAGGATGTCAGTGGACAGTCAGGGCTTCTACCACTGCCCAGAGGTGTCAATCAAAAATCACTCATCATATCAAGAACCAGGAAGACCTCAAATTAATGAAGAGAGAATCAACAGATACCAACACCCACATGACAGAGCAGTTGAAATAATCTGACAAAGATTTTAAAGCAGCCACCAGAAAAATGTCTCAACAAGCAATTAAAACTCGCTGGAAACAAATGAAAAAATAAATGGTCTCAGCCAAGAAATAGGAAGTCTTAGCAAAGCAACAAAAGATATACAGAAGAACCAAATGGAAATTTTGGAAGTGAAAAAAATGCAATAACCAAAATAAAAACTCAGCGGAGGAAAGAATCAGTAAACTGGAAGACAGAAAAATAAGTATTATCCAATCTAAGCATAGAAAGAAAATAGACTGAGGAAAAGAAAAGAACAGAGCTTCGGGGACCTGTGTGACTATAACAGAAGACCTGATATTTGTGTCATCAGAGTCTGGGAAGGAGAAGAAAATTTTCCCAACAAGGTCCACATAACTAGTCATTGTCATGCCCATCCTCAAGATATTACTCTTATTCACTTCCTTCCATGACAAAATATGATACTCTCTGCCTTGCCCCGATCACTCTGAGCTCCCCAGATTCTCTCTCTTTTCTAGAACAACTCCTATCCTCCCTTCTCTACTCCCCATTCTTTAAGACTCGATTCCATGGGCCGGCCCCATGGCTTAGAGGTTAAGTGCGCGCGCTCCGCTACTGGCAGCACGGGGTTCGGATCTGGGCACGCACCGATGCACCGCTTCTCCGGCCATGCTGAGGCCGCATCCCACATACAGCAACTAGAAGGATGTGCAGCTATGACATACAACTATCTACTGGGGCTTTGGGGGGAAAAAAAAGGAGGACGATTGACAATAGATGTTAGCTCAGGGCCGGTCTTCCTCAGCAAAAAGAGGAGGATTAGCACGGATGTTAGCTCAGGGCTGATATTCCTTAAAAAAAAAAAAAAAGACTCGATTCTAAATGGCCTTTCCTAAGAAGGCTTATTTTGGGTAATAGATAAGCATTCATGAAAATGATCTAGTTTGGTTAAGAAACAATACCTAACGGCATTTTCAAAAAGTAGATAAGTTAGTATCAGGTTTGGCTGGGTGAAATAGGCCAACAGACAGCAGTTTATTTTTTCCTCACATAAAAGAACTCTGGATGTAGGCAGTCCAAGGCCTGTATGGCAGCTCTAAAGTCACCAAAAATCCAGGCTTCTCTTTCTGTCTCAATATCCTAGCACTGGTTTCTATCCTTATGATTACCGCATGATCCAGGATGGCTGCTAGTGGTCCAGCCATCTTGTCTGAGGCCCCAGGAGCAAGAAAGAAGGAGGAGGGAAGGCATGTAAGTGAAATGTCCTCATTTTCAGAAGCCTTCCTATAAGTCCCACCCCACAATTTCCTTTCCCCACTAGCCAGACCTCAGTCAACTGGCCATACCTAATTGCAAGGAAGGTTTAGAAATGTAGTATTTTTGCTGGGAAAAAAGATGAATGGGTTTGGATAAGCACTGATCAGTCTTTGCCACACGCAGTTTCAAAAATGTTTTGAGCCACAAAACATGGATAAAATAACTGAATAATGTTCTAAGTTGAGAACATATCCAGTTACATACTATTACATTAACTTAAATGGATTAGAGTTGCAGACAGCAGTATTAATTCATGCTTAATATAGATACAGATGGATACATATAGAAATATTTATCACTATCTATATATAACACAGGTTAGTATACACACATACATCTCTTTGCTCTGTCATCTGAGAGGGCCTAGCAGCAATGACACCCTACTAGCAACAAGCACACCTTGTACTAAGATCTTGGTTTCTACCACTACTCTCCAATAAAAAGAACCAGGGCTCCCTGGAGAAATGGTTGACTGGTTGATTCCAGGACTGGGAAAGGAAATATATGAGATAAGTCTGAAGCATCTTTTGGTGTCAGAGTGTAAGAAAACACCATTTAAAAAAACAGGGCATACCCACAATACTGGGGAAATGTCAACTGGATAAAGGAGTCAACTGAGAGAGTTCCCAATGGCCAAAGCTGGAACAATTTGAGCAAAAAAATAAAATATTGGATTATAACCACATTATAATCAAGTATAACAACTATTAAGATAAACATCCGTGAGTCCATACTGATATAAATAAATAATCAGAAAGACAGATAAGAAGAAGAGTCAAATCTCCTGTGCAGGAAAATTCCAAACAATTTATACAGATACCCCACCCTTAAGGAAGTGGAGCATAACTCCCCAGTCTTCAAGTGTAGGCTACCCATAGTGACTGTCTTCCAAAGATTACAGAACAGAGGGCGAAAACACAGAGCGACTGTATGGTGGGGAATCTCAGCCTCCAACAGGTGACCAAGGTTAACACCAACAGCGACAAGTCCTACTGATGGGAGGGGATGGGGAACGGCATGACCTCTGCAGTCCTCTTCCCAACATGCTGCCCAGTGCAACCACAAGAAAAACATCAGATAAACCCACCTGAAGGACATCCTACAAAACACCTGACCAGTGCTCCTCAAAACTATCAAGATCATACAAAATAAAGTCTGAGGGTCAGAGCCAGGAGGAGCGACCAATAAATGTAATGTGGGATCCTGGAACAGAAAAATGACCTTAGAGAAAAACGGAATAAATCCAAGGAAGTGTGAATAAAGTATGAATTTTAGTTAATAATAATGTCTCTATACTGGTTAATTAATTGTGACAAATACACCATCCTAATGTACAGTGTTAACAATAGGGGAAACTCACTGTACTCTCTCTGCAATAATTATGTGAGTCTAAAACTATTCAAAAATTTAAAATCTGTTTAAAAACACAAAAATAAATTGAAATGAATTGGAGGACACCCAGCTGGTGTCAGAGAAGTACTGTTGGGACGCACACTCTAATTCAGCCTGAGCTCCCAACAGGCTAGGACATTTTGAGACATTGGTTCAGTTCTCTGCCTGGAATTTCTTTTAAGAGCATCTCAAGTGTCAGGGTTGTGAACTGAGAGAATTACCCACTTGTAAAAAATAAGGAAGCTAGGACGTGACCTGCCTCTTTGACCCTGACAGAAAGCGAGAGGCTGAACCCAGAGCCGCACTGAGGCGTCCCGACTGCGCAGGGTCTTCCACACGGCCCTTTCCTTTCAGCCCCAGGCCTTTCAGAGCCAGAGTCACTGACTCGACCTCCAACTCCTGTGCCAGACCCTCCGTTCAAGCCCCTTACTGGGTCTCAACGCACCACACACACAGGGGCATCAGGTACTGTGGAAATAACCAAAGACGGACTTCCTGACCATGGACAGCTCACAGATCAAGTGAAGATTTGGTGAAAAATTCACGTAAATAGAATTCTCACAAACAAGCAAGACACAAGTGCTAGAGCAGTGCCAAGTAGCTTCAACACAGTGAACAAAAAGAGACGTCTGTATGGTGAAAGAAGCACGTGTCCAATTCACTGTTACTGAACAGTGTCACAGGAGCTCAGGACGAGCAAACAAGCAGGGCACAGCCATTCCTGGACCGTTACACCTACAGAAGGGAAACCCTGTTTCCATCCGCTCTCAGCCCTGCCCAAATCAAGGACCAAGAGCCTCTCGCTCAGCCTTGCGGAGGGAGGTCCGCTGTCCGCGCTCTAGCTCAACCGCAGTAGGAGGGGCAACCTCAGAACGAAGCTCCAGTTCTGAGACAGGACAGCAGATGCCGACAGTGTCACTTCCCGAGCCCCAGGCAGGCTGCTTCTCACGTGCACGGGGTAAGCGTGCCGGCATTAACAGAGCTAAAACGTAGACACACACAGCACTGCGCCACCAGTGATTACTCTGATGGCCGGAGTATTGTGAACAGAATGTGCTCCATCCAGCAGTCGAGCAAGGTGGGTGACCTGGCCATCTGGGATGCTGATCATCAGAGTATTACTAATTACACTCCAGGAACAGCACTCACACGCTCTATTTCCTCACGGCACGGAGCCGAGAGGCAAGGAGTTCATCTGATCCAGCGACTCTAAGCGCTTTGGGCAGAGACTGCAAGGTTGTGTTTGGATCACATCCAGTGATCACTTAGTGATGTCTGCCACAGGTCTAGCAGTAAGAAGAGGGGACAAGTGCTGACTCGAGACTGAAGAAAGAACACTAACTTGTGCAGGAAATCTGGCCCTTCTGTCAGCTTTCATTCTCAGCCTTGCCCTCTATAAAAGGATTAGACCAGAGAGGGTGTTTTAACAGAGGGTGTGCAGGTATGCTTCAGGGGTCCCACACACTAAATGCACAACTCTGTGTATATACCCATTTATAATTTGCTAACAAGGTGTCCATACCTTTTATCAGATTCTCAAAAAGGGTCTATAATCCAAAGAAAGTTAAGAAAAATTAACTCTTTCCAGCTTTCAACATTCCATGAACATCATCCCCAGGAAGCATCATTCTGTATCTGGTACAAGGCACAGCTAGAGAAATAGACGCGGCCAGCTAGAATGACTTTTAGTTTAGCTATCAACCTCCTAAGGGAAGACTGTGTCCCGCACGCATGGCCAACACAGGTTAGAGCATTCTGCTCACTGCCCGTCTGAACGCTCCTATATGGGGAGCAGAGCTGCCCTCCCTGTCACTGGGCCCTGGCTGATGTCCAGCTGGGTCACCATCTTCTGGGTCAGCATTTATCAAGCGAGATCATTAATGGCTTATTGCATTTCAACCAATGGAAGGGAAATATGTGCGCCAAGGCGTCCTTCAAGGATGGATAACAAAACTGGGGCACTTCATTTTTGTCTGAATGCTTTTCACTGATGACCGGCCTGGCTCAGGGTTTCTCAACTGGGCACTCTTGGTGTCTTGGGCCAGATAAAGCTTTGTTGTGAGAGCGGCCCCGTGCACTGCAGGATGCTGAGCAGCATCCTGTGCTCCACACACCAGATGTCAGCAGCACCCCCCTCCAAGTTGTGACCACCAAAAATGTCTCTGGCCACTGCCAAAGGTCTTCTGCGGGGAACGTGCCACCCACTGAGACCCACTGGCCTGGCTGAATAAGGTTCCATACGCATGTTCTCTAATTATGTTTCCTTTGCTTTGACTGTTTGTGCACGTCCCTTAGAGGTTTATGTATTTGGTTTTCAAGTGATCAGGAAGATCTTACGGTAAGCGGACAATCTTTTAGAAGGGACATCAGAATCCCTACAAGGGCGATGGGTGTGAGGAAACATTCTCCTGCATTGTGGTGATCGCAGATGGCTAAAATCCTTTCAGAAGGCAATTTGGCAACTTACCAAGTGACACACTAAACCTACAGTCTTTTTTAGAAGGAAATAATCCAAAATAATAATTTTTAAAAGTTATATGCATTGATGTCAGGCAAGTTATAATAACCAAAACTTAGAAGTAACCTAACTATTCAACAAACAGGGAAATGGTAAATTAAATTGGATACCTACACATTATGGAATATTAACCAGCCATTTTTCAAGATAAAACAATTTGGAGCAATATGGATTTTTATATATACATAATACAAATGGAAAAACGATTTAAAAATTTTAATGGCAACTGCAATTATGTAAAAGATTCATATGAACTTGGACACAGACTAGAGAGCAGTCAGTCAAAGGGAAAAAGGGCCGGGGTCACGGGTGGCTGGTTGTCTCTGAACCCCAAACTTTCTGTGCTTGAGTTATATTGTTTTTATGACAAAAAAGGGGAAAAAATACACAGACTACAACTTCATTCTCTACCTCCTAAGTTGGTTTTTATTCTCTTACTAATGGGTTGAGCTAACTTTTTTAAAGTCTATTGTTTTGTTTTGATCATAAAAAAGTGATTTCCAAGAAGTGAAAGTGTAGAACTTTTGCATGTGACTGAAGTTATCAGCTTAAACAAGACAGTCACAACTATAAGCAGGAGACCTAATGTGCAGCGTGGTGACTGTTCTTAGTAATGACATATTATACACTCGGAACCTGCTGAGAGTGGATCCAAAGAGCTCTCACCACACACAGAAAAAGGTGAACATGCGAGATTATGGATGGTTAATTCACTTGACGGGGGCGTCATCTCACAATGTATAGGTGTCTCAAGTCATTATGTTTTACACTTAAATATACACAACGATTATTTGTCAATCATACCTCAGTAAAGCTGAAAAAATAAAAGTACTCCATTCTCACTGCAGAAATTTGGAAAGACCCTTACAAGTCTCAAGGAAAAAAGGCCCACAATGCCAACACCCAGTGATAAATTATATCAATATTATGCCCAAACGCCTTTCAGTCTATGAGTAGGACACAAAAGTCTGAGCACTTTGCAACACATTTTCACAGGCTTTCAATTATTGACTTCACCAGTACACCTGTACTTCACAGAGTTTTAAATTTTGTTAAGTTTTCAAGCACGGTGAGTAAATCATTTCCCGCTAAGGAGGCCTGTCCTCTTATTTATTTTGTATTTTGAGCCCACCAGCTAATACTTCTCCACAGCTTTCTGAAGCACCGCTGACATTTAAAAAATAAAATGCTTTTTTCTAAAGGACATGACTCCTTCAAGGGAGCACAGCTTTCCCAGAGAGCCCCGTGTGCTCCGTAACAGGACGATGAGGGGAGAGGATGCTGGACCCCGTCTACCGCCCTCGGTTTACGACACATTAGCCCCCAGGTGGTGTGCACCTGGTGCTGAGACACACTTACAGGTCGTAGGAGAACTTCCTCTCCAGGTTGGTCTGGTTCTTCTGAAACTGGAGGACATCCTGCTGCAGCGTGCCGTAATTCTTCTGCAGGGCCTTTAACTGGTCTAAGCCAAGAGGGGGACACGAGATGGCACAGGTCACTGGCATGGCCGCCATGACCACAGCAGACCCATCCAAACCCACCCATGAGCACACAAAGGGCGGTGGGACACGGGGTGGGGAGGGAGAGAAAGGGGAGAACATGGCCTCCCTGGAAATCACAACACCCAGCCTCGGGTGGGGCCCCGGAAGGAAGAGCAGAGGCCCTGCAGGAGCCTGCGCCCAAACGGCTCTCTCAAATCTCCTTTTTGACCTCCACCCTTAGAATGCAGTAGGAGGTTCTAGTCACCCGTTTCCTTCTTAGACATCATCAACCCTGAGCTGTCCCACAAGGTCACACACGCCACCATGTCCCCCACCGCCAGCAGACTTATCCTTTCGGTCTGTGAAACACTCATTTCAACATCTGGTCAGATAAGCAGCCACTCCTGCCGAACCCCTGTCCTCGGCTGCCAGGCTACCTGCCGGTATCCTCCCCCTGTCATTTATCACACCCAAGCTCTTCCCCGAGGCCCCGTGCTCACTGAGCCACCTGACCCCTATACGGGAACAGTGGCTTCCTTTGAGGACACTCATCAGCCCCATCCCCGCCGTCCTGATGACTCGGCTCATAAAAGCTCCGAGGAAAAAGCAGCAGCCGACAAAGGGCCAAGCTGGGGCTGGAAGGAAAGGCGGCCACAGGGCGCCACCAGAGTGGGCCCAGAACACAGCTCTGGAGAGACAGCAGAGCTCCCCTACGCTCGTCCTCACAACTTAGACCTGCAAGGCTCTCTGGGAGGGAAATAAAATTAAATAAAAGTGAAGGACCCAATGAATTGCTGATACACACAGCAACATGGATCCACCTCAAAAGCATTTACACGACATGCTCGAAAAGACAAAACTGTAGGGACAGAGAACCACTCAGTGCCCAAGGCCAAGGCGGGGGCCGGGGACTGACTAGGCTATCTGGAGTGACGGACATGAGCTGTGTCCTGCCGGGGGGGTCTAAGGGACTGGGTGTTTGTCAGAACATACAGAACTGTCCACCACAGAGGGTCAACTTCAGTGGGTATAAATTATACCCCAATAAACCTAACTTAAAGAAAAAAGATTCCATAATCAAAGCAAGTATGGGGCAGTGGAATACTACTTGGCAATAAAAAGGAATGAACTGTTGACATCTAAAACACAGATGAATCTCAAAATAATTATGCTCAGTGAACAAATCCAGATGAAAAAAGGTACACACTGTCTGATTCCATGTACATAAAACAGGAAAAAAGGCAAACTATTCTATAAGGACAGAAAGCAGATCAGAAGGTGCCTGGGGAGGAATAGCAAGGGGCACAAAGAAGCTTCTGGGAGTGATGGATATATATTCACCATATTGATTTTGGTGGTGGTTTCCTGAAGTGTATGCCAACGTCAAAACTTGTCAAATTGTGCACTTTAAATATTGAATTACCCTTCAATATGAATTACGAATTCGTAAGTGAATTCAAGTGAATTAGGCCTGATTAAAGCTGCTTAAAAATACTAAGTACTGGAAAGGCTGCAGGCCACACCCCCTTCCTGAGGACTCACCAGACACATCAGCAGGTCACAAGCTCCGAGAATGCCCAGCAGTGAAATGACCATTTAACTCTGTGTAATCCTGCATTTCCCGTTAATATTCTTAGAACCTGATTTAGACCTAGAATTCTAGACCAGCAATGCCCGACAGAACTACAATGCAAGCTATACAGGTAATTTAAAATTTTCTAGCACTACATTTTTAAGAAGTAAAACCAGGTGGAATTAATTTTAATAATATTTTTTAACCCAGATAGAAAATATTACCATGCCAAAATATAATGAATGTAAAAATTATGAACGAGATATCTTATATTCTTTTCTTCATACTAAGTCTTTAAAATATGGTGTGTACAATTGTAGCACATCTCAATTCAGACGTTAAATTTACACTGGGAATTCTTGATCTGAATTTAGATTTCATAAAGTTTACAGTTAAAAGGTAGACTGACATACTCCAAAGATACTTAAGTTTCCCAATAACTGAGTCAAGCATCAGTTTTAAATTTAAATTACTGAAAATTAAACAAAAATTAAAAGTCCAGTTCTTCTGTCCCACTAGCCACATTTCAAGTGTTCCTTGGCCACACGGGGCTCCTGGCTCCCACCCTGGGCTGTACGGCTCTAGACCGACCTTCTCGTCTCAGAGGCAGGAACTGAGGCCAGGGACCAAGGGGATCTCCTAACCAGTGACGAAGGTGAGCCTGGAGTCAGGTCAGGAATCACAGGACCCAGTGCTCCCATCACCAGGTCCTAAGACCACACAGGACCCTGCTGACCCCTCCACTCACAGCGGGAAGGGGAGCAGACCACACAGAGGGGATCACCCCATCACTGCCTCCACCGCTGCTTCAGAAGGGCCCAAAGAAAAACAAACCCTGACTGTCAAACTGCACTAGAGTAGCAAAGAAAGGTAATTAAACTGGGTGGATAATTTCATAAAGAAAATCTGAATTTAGGTGACCCAGTTAAAACAGATCACATATATATAAAAGAACTCACACAACTCAACAACAAAAAAACAAAGAACCCAATAAAAAATGGGCAGAAGATATGAACAGACATTTTTCCAAAGATATGCAGATGGCCAATAGGCACATGAAAAGATGTTCAACATCACTAATCATCAGGGAAATGCAAATCAAAACTACAAGGAGATATCACCCTATACCTGTCAGAATGGCTATAATCACCAAGGCAAAAAATAACTAATGTTGGAGAGGATACGGAGAAAAGGGAGCCCTCAAACACTGCTGGTGGGAATGCAAATTGGTGCAGCCACTATGGAAAACAGTATGAAGATTCCTCAAAAAATTAAAAATAGAACTACCATATGACCCAGCTATCCCACTACTGAGTATTTATCCAAAGAACTTGAAATCAACAATTCAGAAAGACTTAAGCACCCCTGTGTTCACTGCAGCATTACTTACAATAGTGGAAGTGCAAGCAACCCAAGTGCCCATTGACTGATAAATGGATGAAGAAGATGTGGTATATATATGCAGTGGAACACTACTCAGCCATAAAAAAGACAAAATCGTCCCATTTGCAACGACATGGATGCATCTTGAGAGTATTATGTTAAGTGAGATAGGCCAGACAGAGAAAGACAAACACCACGTGATTTCACTCATATGTGGAGGATAAACAAACACCTGGACAAAGAGAGCAGCTCAGTGGTCACCAGAGGGGAAGGGGGTTTCGGGTGGGCATGAGGGGTAAAGGGGCACATGTATGGTGACTGACAAACAATAATATGCAATTGGAATTTCACAATGCTATAAACTATTATGATCTCAATTTTTAAAAAAACAGATCACATATATCATTTACATATATAAAACAGATCACATACATATATATTTCTTAACATATCAAAAAATGAGAGTCTGAATTCTTCTGTACATAACAGCTTGCAATGTATTCAGTAATATTTGTAAGAGGAAAAGCTCTTTAAGGAAATGCAGCTGGGCAAACACAATAAACTCAAGATTACTCACTACTACCCATCATTAGACCAGAATAAGAAACCCTAGAGAAGACCAGGAGCAAAGAGGGGTTTTCCTAAAAGGCCCAACGTCGGTTGTGAAGGAGGGAAGTAGACTCACCTTGCAGGGTTCTGATCAGCCTCTCGCCCGTGGTGATATTATTCACTAAAACCGCCTGCAAGAAGAGAAACACAAATGAAACACCCGCAACCTAACAACTCAGAGCCTTGATGAGATGCACGTTAGAGAAAAGGAAGCAGCCCCACTTCGGGATCTGGGATCGCAGCTCTCCGGCTAGACTCTCCGAGGTCCACCCGCAGCCTGAAACGGAACACGCACGCTCAGAGATGTGCCTTCCAAACCCCAGCCTGTGACCCGAGGAGGAGGTAACTGGGTCTTGGGGCTCCAGGATGGATTTCAGCTCCAGGACGCGCTCCGCCTCCATGAAAGACCCAGGCCAGGCCGGGAGGCATCGGCAACTCTGGACTTTCTCCGGGGAGCCCAGGTACAGTCAGACCTTCGATCAGAGGTCTGGCTGAGTTCCAGGCTGGCTAACGGAAACAGGAGACAGGGGCTCAGTGCCCACTCCACCAGCAAGCCTCTGACTCATTCTCACTTCCGGTCGCTCTCCCGTCCACAGTCTGTGACAACCTCGGGGGAAGGAGGTTTCACACACAGTGACTTACACGAAGCAAGGAAAGCCGACAATAGAGGAGGGAAGAAGCAACACAGGGCTCAAGAGAACCAAGGAAAAAGTAAGAAAAGTGAGTGTGGAGGTAAGCGTGACAAGCAGCCCGCACAAACTGAGTCACCAGGTGCCCTTCTGAGCACTCACCTCTGTTTACTCGTTTACTTCACACCAGGGGTATGAGGGGGCATCATTATCCCATTTTAGGGGACAGGAAACTGAGGCACAGACTGCTTAAGAGGCTCAAGGTCACGTGGCTTTCTTAAGAGCAAACAGACAAAGCCCAACCCCGAGCTGGGCAGGCCTGCTCCAGACAGTGAGCCCTTTATCACTGCTTCCAAGCGGGATCTAAGCCCCAAGCAGGACACCAATGTAGCGAGCTGCAGCCAGTGCTAAAAGCAAACAAAAACCTGAAAAAGAGAGGCTGCAAGCACCAAACATCAGAGCGTGTCACCCAGGCACTGTTTTGTGAACAGCACACAGTGAGACATGGAAGGGGCCATAATGTGCACGCTTCTCATCGTGTCATATTCAACGAAGTTTGCAAAACACTGCACACTGCACTTGCTGCCCATAACTTGGAGGCACATTTCTGTGCCACTCCTGGTTAATGGTGGACGATGACAACCACATCGTCTCCCCCTTCTGCATCCCTGGTTTCCTCCTGGACCTCTCTGTCCAGCCCTCGCTCTTCCTTTGGCCTGGATAGAGCTTTCTGGGTAAGTGTTTTTGAATACAGGAGTACGCTCCCAGAAATGAAATCTGGCCAAACGAATCTGGTGCTTCTTTTGGGAGATCTGAGTACATGGAACATCTCCTGGCACACCAGGAGAGAAGTCACAGTAATAATATCTGAATAATGAATCTCTCAGGGACAGACGATCAAGAGGAGTGTTTATAAATACTCCCCGTGGGCGGGGGAGAGAAGAGAACCAGAAGTGATAGGAGGCTCAACCGAGGGGAATCAGACAGATGTAGCTCACAGCTCCTGCTACTCTCAGAAAAGGCCTGCACAGGTTCAATTAAAAAGACAAGATTACCCTAAGACCCAGCAGTCCCACTTCTGTGTATACACCCAAAGAACTCAAAGCAAGATCTTGAAGAGATATCTGCACCTCCATGTTCAGAGCAGCACTATTCACAATAGCCAAGAGATGGAGGCAACCCAGTGTCCCTCAATGGATAAACAGACAAAGAAAATTGTTATATATACACAATGGAATATTATGCAGCCTTTAAAAAGGGCTGTTACATGCTACAACATGGATGAACTTTGAGGACATTATGCCAAGCAAAGTAAACCAGACATGGAAGGACAAATACTGTATGATTCCCCTCACATGAAGTGTCTAAAGCAGTCAAAATCATAGAAACAGAAAGTAGAAAGGTGGTTGCCAAGAGCTGGGGGAAAGGGCATTAATGTTTAATAGGTATAGATTTCAGTGTTGCAAGATGAAAAAATTCTAGACATTTTCTGCACAACGATGTGAATATATTGAACAGTACTGAGCTGTACATTGAAACTTCCGCCTGGCACAGGCACCAAAACCACCTTTCCTCTGAATATCAGTGCTGAAACAAAACAGAGAAGGAAAGCAACACTGAAATGATTATGCGCTGATCATCTTGAAAGCTGCTCTCTCCTGGTAAATCACTTCTATAAAAATTATGACAACATGACCTGTCCCTTCTCCACTCATTCCCCTCAGCACCCCCCCCAAAAAAATCCCTGTTGGAGTTTGCAACAATCTCAGGGTTTAAGAAGGTTTAGGAATTGCTGCAATCTGAAATATCTGAAGATATCTCTGTCTCTCACATGACTTTATTCTTCTGAAGAAAATATATTTTAGTTGTCTTCCCCCACCTACTTACTTACGCATGGAAAAATACAGTCTTCACTTAAGAAAAGGAGAAAAGGATCGTAAAATGCCATCGAGATCTTCTTTTTTTTTTCCATCGAGATCTTTTATATGCAGTTTTATATTTATCGAAAATCTTGTTGAACAGTTTTCAGGAAAACTATGAAAATGTTTCTAACTTCTTTTTGGGTTCAATATAAAGAAAAAAAACACCTGCATTAAACAAAATTATTTTTAAAGGAGTTCTATATTCTACTCTAAACAGCCCAGCTGTTTTCATTGTTTTCATGTCTTGGGGAGCTGCACTTCCCAGTGTCTGTGAACTGTCCCCTGGGAACACTCAGCAGGAGGCCAGGAGACAGGAGGTGCCACCAGAATTTACCTGGGAACTAAGCTCAGAAGACTCAGGGTGAATCACCCACGGACAGATTTATTGTAACCATTCTATTCTGGAAACAAGTATATTTGATCAAACTATATCTGCATTAGATTGCTAGAAAAATAAGCTCAACATTTCAAAATAAATTTTCAGAGCAGTAAATCTACAATAAATTATCACGTTCTGAAAGCTCAATAAGATACAAATGACTCAATTTTAAAAATACTAACTTTTGAAAAGCTCACTGGAAGTGTGATGCTGATCCTATTAGAAAGAAGAGAAGGCGGCCTTTACTGCTATATATATTCGTTTGGCTCATTAAAATAATCAGCCTGTTTTGAAGGTGGGGGTCCACCTTTAAGCTTCGCTAAAGAGGACCCTCCAACTACCTAACCAAGTCACCCACCAGACATCAGGCGCCTGGATCACTTCTTTGTAAAGACATTCCTGTTAGTGCCTCAGCGAGACGACCCTTAAAATGAAAATCTTAACCTCAGTGACCTGCGAACGACGGTAAGAATGAAGGGAAGAGGGCCGGCCCCGTGGCTTAGCGGTTAAGTGCTCGCACTCCGCTGCTGGCCGCCCGGGTTTGGATCCCGGGCGCGCACCGACGCACCGCTTCTCCCGCCATGCTGAGGCCGCATCCCACATACAGCAACTAGAAGAATGTGCAGCTATGACATACAACTATCTACTGGGGCTTTAGGGGAAAAATATATTAAAAAAAAAAAGAATGAAGGGAAGAATAAGAAATATTCATTAGTCTTCTTTTTACCCTTCACCAATTTCAAAATCTCCCAGAGCAGTGCTGTCCAACAGAAATATAATGTCAGTCATAAATGGAAATTAAAAAATTTCTAGTTGTCACACTAAATTAAGTAAAAAGAAACAGATTGGGCAAAGGATTTGAATAGACATTTCCCCAAAGAAGATACACAAATGGCCCATAAGTACATGAAAGATGCTCAACATCATTAGTCATGAGAGAAATGCAAATCAAAATGTGAAGATACCACTTCTCACACACTAGGATAGCTACAAGTAAAAAAAACCAAAAAAGGAAAGTAAGTATTGACAAGCTTGTGCACGGGAGAGAAACGGGAACCCTCACACACAGCTGAGGAGAAGGTAAATTGGTGCAGTCACTGTGGCAAACAGCTGGCAGTTCCTCAAACAACTAGTTATCATACAACCAGGTATGTAATTCCAGGTATATACCCAAGAGAAACAAAAACACATGTCCACACAGAAACCTGCCCACAAATGTTCACAGCAATAATTATTCATAATGGCCAAAAAATGGAAACAACTCAATACCCATCAGGTGATGAAGGGCTAAACAGAAAGTGGTGTATCCATATAATGGACTATTATTCAGCCATAAAAAGGAATGGAGTACTGATACAAGCTACAACATGGAAGAATCCTGAAAACACTACACTAAGTGAAAGAAGCCAGACACAAAAGGCCACAAAATGTGTGATTCCATTGACATGATATGCACAGAACCGGCATATCTACAGAGAGAGAAAGTAAATCAGTGGTTGCCAGGGGCTGGGGGGAGGTGGAAATGGGGAGAGACTGCTTAACAGGTACACACTTTTTTGGGGGGTGATTAAAATGTTCGGGAATTAGATAGTAGTGATGGTTGTACAACATCGTAAATACACCCAAAACCAATGAATGATACGCTTTAAAATGGTTAAAACGGTGAGTTTTGTGTTATGTGAATTTTATCTCAATTAACAAAAAGAAACATGTGAAATTAAATATTAATGTTTTATTTAATCTAATATATCCCAATTATCATTTCAAGATGTAATCAACATAAAACAGCATTAATGAGATATTTCACTTTGTTTTTTCACACTAAGCCTTTGAAATCTAGCATATTTTATTTACACTTACAGCACGTGTCAACTGGGACGTTTTCAGTGCTCAATAGCCACTTGCCAGCAGGAAAGGCACAGTCCCTGGGGAATAAGACGGGAGGGCAGAGAGAGAGTCTGGTAGCAGAGAAGTGCCAACTAGTTACCATTTATTTACAGCATCCCGCTGAGATTACACACTCACACTAGCACCCATTCACAGCCAAAACAAAACAAGTACTGCCACCCACACACCTCACGCCTACAGCCCCTGCGGGCCAAATATCGGCTCACTGAACATGTTGTCAGAGAAACCACGACACAAAGAGGTGCAGCCGTGAGTCCAGCCCACAAAACCCTACGGCCAACATAAGTCACTTT